AACTTTTGCTGACTGGAAGTCATGCCCTAAATATTTTGTTTTGTTATCCCAATAAATCAAAAAATGATCACATCAAGTAAACTGAACATTGAATTTCTAAGTGTTCCAAATTTCGTGCCTTGATTAATTTTCAGTGCATCAGAGATTGAATCATCACTGATCAGTTTTGCTGGATCAGATTCCACTTCAACTTGACAAGGAGGGGATAAAAGAAAGAAAAGATGGCAAGTGGGGTGGGGTTGGGTAATTATTCAAGGGAGGCAATCATTTTCAATATTTCCTTCTAGGAGGGGGGTGGGGGATTATTTGAGGGAAGCGATTAATCAAGGGACAGCTATTATTCAAGGAAATAATTATGGTACACAGATTTATGGTATGCTTCCTCTAAAGAAAAGAAAGCGGAAAGATTAGCCAACTTGACTGTGACAATACCAACAGTGTTAAAAAACAAAAGATTAAATAAGGAAATATTTTGCCTCATTCCGCACACCTTTTGTGAGGGTGGCCGTTAGTAGAGCTGTGACTGCTTACAAGATTGTCCTTGACAAGAGCTTCCACTGTAGCAAGTAAGAATCATCGTTTTGATTTAATGCATTTATTTATTCAACAGACAACAAACTGTTTGAAAGTGCGGATACTTCTAAATCAAGATTAGTTCAACTGGAAATACAAGTTGTTCAGCTTCAACAGGTGAGCATGCTGTTCCTTGTTCAAAACATGAAATATATATCCTACATTTAATAAAATTGTTGTAGACCTTTCCCTGTTCAGTGAGTGCAATGAAATTAGGTCAAGGCTTGCATGGACAAAAATAATTAAATAAATAAATTATAATTAATAATAATAATTAAATAATTGTTATAAATAAATAATATTTATGCAAAAAGAATCTTTCAAAAAACTCTTTCCAGTGAATATGTAGTTTTCCATCTCAATGTTGACTCTAAAACCTTTTTTTTATGTTATCTGAAGCTTTCTCTCAATATCAAGATGAAAATTCTTTGAAACGTAAAGGATAGGAACATGGAAATTGAAACATACTGCCGAGGGCATACTCATGGCTTTTGTCAGCCCTTACCCATAGACTGATGGTAAAAGGGTGACTGACCAATCACCGCCTGTGATTCACCTTTTTTTATATAACATAATCATTATTGTGCCACAGTTATTGGTCATGAGACCTGCAGTGGGCAGGAACAAGAAATCCAACATTGATGTGGGGGTGGGCCAGTAGGGGCTCTGTTTGTTATGGTATGTTGTAAAAAACACCCATTTGTATGGAAATGTCTTAACAATTTTGTTTGCTGATTATGGAATTTTTCCAACATACTGAAAAATTTTGACCCTAATGGATCATTCATCTGTTTAAAATTTGCTGCACTTTTTCAAAAACACTTGAACTCTGAGGTTCAAAAGCCAACTAACATTTGCATCCTTTGCTGCCGTCAATCATTTTAGCGGACCTCTTAGGAAACAGACGTTTACTTCAACAAGTTCGAAAGGTCATAGATTGTGAATTGTGATTGTTGGATTTCGATTCATTTTGTGTGTTTCTGTGTTTCAAGATTATGGTTGACATCAGCAAAAATGCAAGCTGGCTGTTTAAAGTTCAGAATTTGCATGTTATTAAAAAGCTTTGTTTACTCTGTAGGAAAAACTTGAGCTTCAGGGACGTGTTCAAGAATTAAGGTACTACCCGATAAAATAATGAATAAATACAAGTAAGCTACTAAGATCATTTTATATGATCACCAATCAATCTGGTCAATGTGTTGCAATATTATTAATCGTAAAATAATTGTCACTTCACTTTCCTGTGTTCCTTTCTTATGCTTTTAATTTACACTCAATTCTTTTGTCCTTTTTTTAGTTTAACAGGGGGTGGTGCCGGGGGTGGGGCTGGATCAGAAAAAATAGCCTCTGTTGCTTTTAATTTACACTCAATTCTTTTGTCCTATTTTTAGTTTAACAGGGGGTGGTGCCGGGGGTGGAGCTGGATCAGAAAAAATAGCTCTGTTGGAACAGAAGCTCTTCAAGTTACAAGAGGAAGTGACTGAGCTTCATAGACAAAGAGGAGAGGTATGGTATGGCAGTGTTCGCACTATCTGCGTAGGCACAGTACCTAAGTCCATGATGGAGTACAGTACTCTATGGGCATCAATGTGAGCACATCCTTTTTTCAAGTGCCAATGCTAGAATTCAGGCAAGGTCACAAGCACAAAAGTGGGCACTGGGTCTTTGTGTGGACTTGGTTTTGGTAGCTCTGGGGCGGTCCATTGCTTTATACTTGCTCGAAGCTTATGTTTCAAAATGGCGTTTAACAGGGTGAAACAGAGTAACTACAGAGTTACTCACATCAGTTACTCAAGGTGTGAACAGAAGGGTGATTATTTTGTGCTGGTATCCAGGACAGATATGGTATAGAAGTTCATCCAATCTATGATCGCTACACACTGGGACAACCTTGATAATGATTTGATAATTTGTTTCTAGGTATGATAATGTATACTATAAACAAGGAGAAATAACAATTATTTAAACAAAGGATAAAAATGAACCACAACTTATTAACCTACAAGTATCTCTAACTGCTTGCCAAAAGACATATATGTACTTGCACAGGTAATATTATGTATTGGCAGTTAGTTCAAGCCCTGGTATTTACTTTGTCATGTTAATATTGTTTTTATTTTGATTTAGAATGCACAAAAGTTGTTGGACGTCAACAACGCTTTACGACAAAAGGAACAAGAACTTCAAACCAAGGAAGGGCAGTAAGTGTACTTTATGTTTTGACACAAACAAGTGTGTCTGGTTACTGGATGACTGATTGTCTCCTTCATCCTTTTTTGTTGTTTGAATTGAAGAGGATGTAGAAGAACCCACGTCACTCTTCAAAAAGAGAATGGGGCATTTCCCCAGTTGTGTAGTCTCCCTTGCACACATTATTCAAATCATGGACTGTGTGGGTTAAAGCCCAGGGCGGTACTCCCTATATAACAACCTTTACGGGGAGGCTTCGCCCCAAAGGGGTACTTTTTTCAAGCTATAGGTACATGTATATGAAAGGGTAGGAATTTCACTAGTTGAAGTATTTCATTGAAACGGTAGGGAAATCTGTCATTTCGGTCTGTAAAAAGGCCCAAAAGGGCTTATAGATGCATTTTATGGCTGCAAAAAAGTTGAGAAAACATTCTGGTTTTGTGGTTTATTCATATTTTAAAAAAATGCATTAAATTATTTTATAGTAGTGAAAAGGGATTCAAAGTTCTAACCTAGCTAGATATGTGAAAGGGGTACCTACCATTTTGAAAGGGATACCTTTTCTGTCAGCATTGGTATATAAAAGAGTAAGCTATTAAGGTGTGGGACCTCAAAGGTAGAGCCTCCCTGTGTAAAACTTTTTTGAGTACCCCTTCCCCCGGGGTTATGGTAAGCTCATGAATGGACTGATAGTGGCTGCCATTGGCACCTTTGTATGCTAACGTCCAAGCTTACTGTTAACGTGAAGATAGTATAATTTCAAGAGGATATGTCTGCTGTCCTGTCGTCCACAAAATTATTTCATTCATTCATTCATTCTTGTTGCTCGCTTTGTACTGTAGTCTTTTTTTTACAAAACAGCTGTTTGTTTGTGTGAGTTCTTTAAAAGCCATTTCAACACAACACAACATGGTATTGAGCAATGCTAAGTTACTGCTGTAGTTTTTATTGAAGTTATGAAATATGTGAAAATCGTATATGTGACCCCGCAGCTCACATATACAGCTATTTCAAGAAAGGTTGTTGTAAAAAAAGTGCACTCGACAATCCCGAAAGGTAATATGGGATATGATCAACACTGTTCCTGATGACTGTAGCTGTTGAACCTACTTTTGTTGCTTTCCTCTAACACTCGCAAACACATTTCCATGGCCTTTCCTGCCAATTCTTTCAAATTTCTGTGAAAAAAAGAGAACTCAAAACCACCCACAATGCCTTTCAGGATTGTCACGTGCACTTTTCCCGACAGCGTTTCTCGGAATAGCTGTATATGATTTTCATATGTTCATAACTTCATCATCATCCTTTTACGGGTTTATAATGAACCAATTCAACGACCTGCTCCCAGTTGGCTTGTTAGCTCAGTTGGTAAGAGTGCCGCACCGGCATTGCAGCGGTCAAGGGGTTGAATCCCGTACAAGCGTGATTTTTTTTTTTCAGGCTTTCTTTTCACAACTGCAAAAGTTGCGTCTATAACTGCCATTATCTACTTTCATATAATTAGATTTTATCAATGAATTGATGATATTAGTATTTAATCTGATTGTTATTCTGTGTATAGATTTGAAGATTTAACCATCAATAAACAGGACTTGGATAAAGAATGTACACGTCTACAGCAAACCATTATTGAATTAGATGCTACATGTCAGGTACTGTAAATCAGGATTGCTAGTAAGAGGGCTCGTGATAACAGGGGGGCTCATGTGCTCCTACTCCACCTCGCAGCAAGCTGAGCCGTTTCCCTAGATCTGCTCCTGTTGCTCATGATGATCTGTATATGGATCTTCTCATTAATGTGCTTTTTGTCATCATTTGATTCTTACCGGTTGAAGTCAAGCTAATAGAGAGCTTTAGACTCTGTGAGGGGGACGACTATGAGTACGAGATTTTCTCAATACTAAGTAGTGGTCTTGGGTGAGCCAATGTCATTTTGCCAGAAAAGGTGATAGCCATCATCATTCTACTAAGAAATTTAGCAAGAATGTCATAGTGGCGGGAACAAGTTATCAAATTTTAGAAGTTTAATCATTTTGCGACCGGGAAAGGGCTAAACCTTCTCCAATATGATAAAAATAACCACACTAATTTTTGAGGTGGGAAATGCTACAATGAAGCTTTCCAGGTTGATTACTTGTATGTTTCAAGAATACGTGAGAAAACTTTACGTTAAATCTTGTACCCATAATCATCCTTCTTGTCCTTGACTCTTAAGGCTTATCCCGTCCTCTATCTGTGTTACAACACTTGAAATCCGGGTCTATGGCCATATTTAAGAATAACTTTGAGTGTCCGTGCAATGTTCATGCTGCAGAGCAGCACAGCCTTCTGCATCCTCTTCAGAATATCTCTTAATCGCACACCAAAGATCTTACTCATCTCGACATCTGCCTCCTTGGACCCCCCCCCCCCCCCCCCCAAAAAAAAACAGTGGTTGGTACTTTTCTGTCTTCTCAAAATCCTTCTTTGCACGATTGTCCAAGCTGTGTGGACAGCTTATTTCCACAGCCAACACCCTTATTATTATTACTAGTATTATTATCATTAATTAATTAATTAATTAATTTAATTAAAGTCATCTTGTGAACAATGTACCATGATCATGATTATCTCTTTTTAGTTGGTAAAAGATGAACTTCAAGCTCTTCAACTGGCGTATTCAGCATTAGAGGAAAAAAATAGAAAAACAATTGAGGAAAATCAAGAACTGGTTAGTATGCAAGACACTAACCTCTTTTAGACATGTTCAACTCGGAAAATGGTGTAGTACCAGTTGCTGAATTTATTTTATGGCAAATTTTCACCCCATTCTTATCTCCATTGTCTAAAAAATTAACAACCAGCTGTGTTTCCCACTGGCTTAGCTCATCTACCAAGTAGTTTCCTTAAAACTTTATTCACTAAAAGTATTCAATTTGAAAAAAAAACTGTTACCTGATCCATGCATGGTACAGCACTGTAATTAAATTTTAGTACTTTTACAGTCAAACCTTGTTTTACGGACACCCACTTAATATGGGGACCGCATTATTACAGACAGTTTGCTTTGTCTCCAGGCAGAGAAAGCCCTTTAATGCATTAACTCTAAATTCACCTTGTTTAATATGGACACCCTGTTAATACAGACACGGTCCATGGCCTCTCAGTGTCCTTACAAACAGAGCTTGACTGTAGTACTATTATTTATTTTAAGTATTTCACATCATTGCATGCAGTTTTTATACTTTGTTGAAGTCTTGAAATTAGTGAATACAGTTGAAACTCTTGTAATGGGCACCTTTACAAGATGGACAACTTGGAAAAGGTTGACTTTGATCGCCCGGGTGAACGTAGTCCTGAATAGGACTGTTGTTGACAGTGACTGACGTTTCGACAACCTGTGCGGTAGTCATCTTCAGAGTCAAAGTGAGTTGTATCACGTCAGTTGATGGTATTATACTTGGGTTATTGATCTGATTGGTCAATTATGTCGCGTTGTTATTGGTCATCTGTCAGTTAAGCCGTGATGTTATTGGCTATGAAGACTCGTAATCAGTGATTGGTGCGTTTCGATCCATCTATTGTCGCAGTTAAACAGTCGTCTATTGTTAGTCAAATTGTTAGTTCTCCAGTTGTTGTTGTCCAGTTGTTAGTTCTCCAGTTCTCCAATTCTTCCAGTTGATGGACAATAATCTTAGTGCCCATCATAAAGGTATCCATCTTAAAGGGAGTTGACTGTATTTAAATTCATTCTCCTGTTTTTTTTTTTTCCTTCATAGATAACAAGATGGATGGCTGAAAAGGCTAAAGCTGCAAATGAAATAAATGCTCAAAATGAAATGCAGTTAAGGTGATTGTAATTTTTTTTAAGATTATCATGCAATGCTCATCAACTACATATTTGTAGGTAGAATGATATAGGTAGAATGATCTGGAGATGAAATCAAGGTTTCATTAAAATTTGAAGAAGACAGTGTGTCTAAGTACATGTTGAGTACTGAACCCTTTTTAGTTGCAACAATGTTTTAAAGAATCTTTCATCAATTCTTTAAACCCCATTTACACACACTAAACAAATCGGCACAGCGCGCCAAATTTTTGGCACTGTGCCTCGTTTACCTGTGCTGAGACTACCTCCGGGAGGTAGTCTCGGCACCCCTAAAATATTGAGCACTGGTGCCACATTACATGTGGGACCGATACGTTTACATGTCGAAAAATTGGGAGTGCCGTGCGTTAAAATCGTCAGCACGGTGCCAAAAATTTGGCGTGCAGTGCCGATTTTTTTAGCCCGTGTAAATGGGGTTTTAGTTACCTCAATTCAGAGGGGAAATTATATTGTTTGCTTATCAGTGGAAAGCACCCTGAATGAAGAGAATGATCGATCCTTATAGCTGTTATATACCTGCTAAGATTTTCTGAGTCAGATGCGTGTACATGTATTTTCATCTTGCCATGAATGGTATTTCAAAAAATGTTCCAAAAAGATTTCTGCTATTTGCCGAAAATGTCTGCAGATGTTCTGACTACCTTTGAGCACTTCTGAAGCTATTTAAAAAGCAACAGTTTTAGTGTGTTGTGATACTGTTAAGACACAAAGTCAACATTTAGCACCTTTCTGGAATATTTTGGGGGAAATTGAATTGAATTTTTGTTATTACATGTAATCATGGGTTAAAGAACAATTCATCCAGATTTGTGAGTAAGGCATGAGAAATTGTCTTACATCCTCAGGAGTAAGACTTGCGCATATAATGTGTAAGAGTTGGCAGGTGTATAGTTATGATTTGCAATTTGTGCATTTAGGACCCAAATCTGCCACCACTGCCATGGATTGATGGTATATGAGCTTGCTTTAGCAGCGAGACTCTAAAAATGCAAGTTACATGTAGCGTTCCTTTTTTTCGTGTGTGCACCAAAAGGTGGGTCATGGTCCCAGACATAATTTCCTAGTGGAGACCGTTGAGACTGGTTGGGTGTTGTAAACTCTCATTGTATGCAAATGAGTCTTGTGATGGGCATGCCATTTTTGTTTTCAGCAATGATTGAAATGATGCGCTATCTTCATCACATTTTTGCCTCTTGGCAATGATGTAATTTCTCTCGAATCGAGGCCTTTGATTTTCGTTTATTTATTTACACATACTCAATCAATTCGGAAGCAATAGTCGAATACGACATAAAAAGCAAATACCTTGAAGAATACTCGACCATCGATAAAGTAGGAAGGTTAATTAATAGTGAAAAAATTTTAGCAAGGAAATCCTGTTTCGTGTAGAATTAATCGCCTGCTCATTTCTTATCAGCTAATCTCCAAGCAAGCTCAACTTAATGCTTTTAAGAGTGTTCTTGTTTAGTTTTAAAGCAAAGTTAAGAGATCCAATACACTCAAAGTTTAAGTGTTTTATGTGTAAAATTGTACAGTCATGTTGTTTATGTTTCCTTTAGAATAAGACAACAAAAGCTTCAAAAAGACCTTTTAGAGGCATCAAAAGAGCCCGTGAAAGAGCCCATATAGTAAGTATTCATTACACTATTTTACAAATATCCAAATTGTTGTCAGGTGATATGGTGAAACTGTTTCAGTCATGGGCAGATTTAGAGGCGGGGTTAGGGGTGGTTATCATTAGATCCCATCCACTGTAGCCCCTTTGGACACCTCATGAAATTTACACAACACAGTTTTCCTTGTTATGTGTTAGGGTTAAGCACTGTTTCGAAACTGGTTAGGTTTTTTTTTGGGGGGGGGGTGGGGTTGATGCTCTATTTACTTAAATTATTCCATCTCCATCCATCAAATCCGCAGTGGTCTGGAGCTGGTGGTTAGCGTGATATACCAGGTTTTCTGGGTTGTTGGTTCAAAACCCAACGGCTTGTCAGGTCAATTTTTTTTTCTTTCAAATTGAAGAGACTTTCATGAACATTTCGAGCTTGGAATATCATCTAAGTGTGATATAAAAGCAGAGAACAGTTCTACCTTGTGTAAATTTCATAAGGGGTGATCTAGAAAGGGGCTACGGCCAATGTGATCTAATGCTGACCGTTAGAGGTTCACCCAACCCGCTACCCTTTTGTCTGATATTGTGTTTATGTCTTTCGCATCCTTAAGATTTGGACACAGATGCTGTGGTTCTCTCTCTCTAAATGTTGTGGTTCTGCCCTTGTCAGCTCATGATATTCTCTGTGTACCTCAGTCCAGGGACAGCACAGGGGAGGAACCAGGGGGCCTCATCCCCACCCCTCCCCACCCTTTTATTTTAATTGACACAGTAGAAGTGTATTGTTACATGTAGGTCTGTTCACACTGAAAGTGATTTTTCTGTGCAATTTGTTCCCTGACTTTTTGCACATCTTAACTAGCTGTGAGTTATCCAAAATTATCTGCACAAGAGAAGAAACTGATTCCCTCTATCAGCTGAAAAGGAGGAAAAAAGGGGTCAAAAGGAGAGCTGGCACTAGCTTTGTTTTTTTCATGGTTTTTGTTCCCCAAAATAAAGATCCCCAGAAAGTAGCAATTCCCTAAGGCTGCTAATTTCAAAATTAACAAGTCAAAAGAGTAATTTCTATCAGAACTCAATGGTATGTTGGGTTGGCTACGGCTAGTTTTCCTGTATCACAGCATCTGTATCTTTCCCCACCTCCATGTATCTCATTTTTAAAAGCAGATTTCTTTTTCCCATTTAGTAATTTTGAGGGACCAGCTGCAGTACCGTTTTGTGCCATTGTTTCTGTCCCGTCCTACCCTGAGAGAAAATTTGTAAGTACTCTCTCTAATAATAGAGAACCCTAGATTCAAGGATTTCTTTTCTTTACAAGAATGACTTTAAACTTAAAGGGCCGAAATATTTAAACGAAGTGTAACTTAAGCGGCAGTTTAACAAGTCTTTGAACCTCCATATCTCTTCTTTGGTGGGTTGTTTTAAGAAGATAAAATGCTTTCCTAGTCTTCTCTATATGCTTTCATAAAACTGAACAATAAATGATGTTTAGATAAAATCGTTGGGCAAATTGAAAATGACTTAGAATGTGGTTTTGTTAAACACTGGCTAAACTATGTTTAAATATTTGGCCCAAAGTGTTTTCGTGTGTTATTCTAAAAAATATATATACACCCCAAAAGCTTCATAATTTATGCCTTTTAACACCAGAAAAGTTAGCATGGTTATCGTTATTGAAGGAGGTGGAAGAAGCCCTCTACCGATTACAAAATGATAAAACGTCTAACATTTGATAACCTGTTTCCATCACTACAACATTCTTGCTAAAACTTATCGTAGAATGACGACTGCTTTATGTTTTCCCACCAGTATGACTATGGTCAATGCATGCACACAACTTAGGCATGAGAAATCTTGTCGTCATTGTAGTCGTCCTTGTCTCTTATGTTGCATGCTTTTTAACAAATTTAATTTTGTATTGGATATTATTGTGATCAAAGTTCCATACATCGCTGGCTTGATTAGTGTTTTATCATATGGCTGGCTCTGTCAGCAACCAAGATGATCAGAGGCAACTCTTGTGTTCTGATTCAGCCACCCAAATACTATTAAGGGCCAGGATTGTTACCACAAGAAAAAAACTTTTCTTTCAGCAATATTGATATAACTATAATTATCTGTTAACAGCAAGGCTTGTTCAATCAAGAACATGTTTTGTCTTTGTGTGTAAAAATGTAGAAAAGAACTTGCCCGATATTCAGCGATCTCATTGGAGCAAGCTTTACATGTATTGAAATTACAGTGTGCTATACACAAACATGTGACCTCCAAAGCAAAAAAAATTTGACCAATGGTTAATTTCTCACTTCTGTCAATCAAGTCATTCATAGCCATTTTCACTTAATTTAAAGTCAAGGTGAACTTGTAACCATCATTTACATAGCAGTATGGCCTTTATAGTAACTGTTATTTTTCTTCACAGTACGTACAATCCATTTTCATATCCACCTTCAGCAGTTTGAACAAATCATGATAACAAATCATTTAATTTCTAGGATGCTCATGATGGGGAAGTAAATGCAGCAAGATTTAGCACATCAGGACGATTTTTTGCCACGGGTGGTGCTGACAGAAAAGTTAAGATATGGGAACAAGTAAATGGTATGAGCTGAGACTCCTGCATTGTTCTATAACTTGGAGTGACTGACTGGTGTGCTTGCAGATTGTTTAATTGATCAATTCATATGGATTTTATTAGTTGGATAAGCGATGAATAATTTGAAGGGGTGGCTAATGATTACTTGTTTGTGGCTCTCTTGTCTGACTTCCAACTGACCAAATAAAAATGACTCATCGAATATTTCATTATCAGTTGACTGGTTAACTGACTAGTTCAGTTGGCTGGCTGGTTAGTGAGTCAGTTAAATTCATGGGTGGATTGATTGATTGATAATCGTTTGACTGCTATAATATTGGACCAACTGAATAGACCTATTCAGCTAACTCAATGTTGTACCCAATTCAAACCCTTTGGGAATAAAACGTTTTGTTTCAGGAATTTCCATATCACTGAAATGTAAATGCCACATTATAATGCAAATACAATACACAAAGAATCTCAACTGTAGGAGATTTGAATTGGGTACAACATTGAGAATAGCCAAATAGGTCTATAACTGATAAGTTACAGTTCCATTGATTGATTGATTGATTGACTGATTGGTTGGTTGATTGATTGTTGGATTGACTGATTGATTGATTGATTGATTGATTGATTGGTTGGTTGATTGATTGACTGGTTGATTGATTGTTTGGTTGATTGATTCATTGATTTAATGATTGATTGATTGATTGAATTATAGGAAATTATGTATCAAAATGTGTTATTCATGGGAGTAATGCTGGAATCATGTCAGTACAGTTTGATCCTCAGGTGAGATTCTGTAGAAGAAAATTAACCCGTTTAAGGTATCAATATCTCTAGAAATACACATCTTGCAACCCCTTGCAAAACTTGGTGTGTGGCACAGATTGTTAATGAGAAAAACAGATGTGAACGAAATTTTTAAGTGCATGCTAATAAATACCTTGTTGAAGAATCTTTGAGGGTGAACATCTCACCCAGAGTAATCATAGCTCTCGAACCCTTTGTTTCTCCTTAGGTTCCTAAATTTTCTCAGTCCTCTTCCTAAAAAAGTCCAGAGTTCCCATTGAAAAAATCCCGTAAAAAAGACAAAAAAACATCCACACAAGATTTTTTTCTATGGCGTAAGCGCTCGTCCCCTAAATCCGGGGACTTTTATTTGAAACTGTCAATCTTCCCGCGCGTAACGTAATTTCCGGTAAAAATGCACTTCCGGTTCGCTCTTACAAACAATTCTTTTAGAAAAAAGGCACAAGAAATAATCCTTAACATTTTCCCCCTCCTGGATTTACATTTGACTGAAAATCCAACACTTCAATCGATCTCTTTTACAAACATAACGCAAATTGTTCAAATGTTCCAATAACTGTTCAAATGTTAAAGTTCAAATGTTCAAATGTCAAATGTTAAAATGTTCAATCTGTCAGATTTAGACTTAAAATTCTCTGACTAAACAAATCATGAACTGTTCAACTGTTCCTACAAGTGTTCATGATGCAAATCTTTACGACCATAGCTAGTTAGTTCACTGTTCCGTCCGGTCACTTAGTAATCTTCAAATTCCAACGGTGAAATTCTGGAAATTGGTCTTCGTTTCACCCCTCCTTTGGTTCTAACGTCTACGACTCGTACTAGTCCATCTTTACCAGGATGCACTGCCTCTATTCGTCCAAGCTTCCAATCCCGTCTTGGTGCGTCTGGATCGATTACCAACACCACGTCCCCCACTGTTAGATTCTTTGAAGGTTGGAACCACTTTTGCCGGGATCCAATACTTGGCAAATACTCTCTCATCCAACGACTCCATACTCTACGAATCAGTTCCTGTATTCGTCTCCATCGTCTACGCACACTGACTGCCGTCGTATCGACTGTGTCTGGGGCTAACTCTCCACCCATTTGGCCAATTAAGAAATGGTTTGGGGTTAGCACAGGCTCGTCATTGACATCTCCACTAACTGTAGTTAAAGGCCTCGAATTTAACAAACTTTCGGCTCCAGTAAACACGGTTTGTAATTCTTCATCATTGACATCAGCTTCGTTCAAAATTGCATAAATTGCCCTCTTGGCTGACTTGATCATTCTTTCGAAGACACCGCCAAAGTGTGGCGCTTCCGGTGGGTTAAACTGCCACTCAATTCCTTGGTTGGAAGTAAGCCTTTGAATTTTTTCTTGGTCCATGCTATCCACTAACTCCTTGATTTCTCGTGCTGCTCCGACGTAATTACTTCCATTGTCACTGAGCATCAACTTAGGCCACCCTCGTCTAGCCACCATACGCGTCAGCGCATTTAAGAAAGCATCCGTCTCCAGGGAAGCAGCCATTTCCAAATGACAACAGTGTGTCTGTAAACACACAAATAAGCAAAGGTAGCGCTTCACTCGTGGTCTACCTCGTCCTTGCATCGTGTAGAATGGTCCTGCAAAATCTGTCGCACAATTTGCAAATGGTTTCTGAGTCATCTCTAATCGAATTCTAGGTAATGGTGCCATTTGTTGTTGTGCTGGGCAGCCCCTGAATCTTCGGTTACATTCCGCACATTCCTTGATACATTTCTTCACTTGTTGTCGTCCTTGAATCACAAAGTATTTCTCTCGTAAATGGTTTAATGTAAAGTTCACTCCCATCTCGTGACCTTCCCTCTCATGGTGATACTTCACGATTAACTTGGTAACGATGTGATTCTTTGGAAGGATGATTGGAAACTTCGTCTCTTCTGGCAAATCATCTGAATATCGCAGTCGCGTGTTTGATCGAAGGAGTCCCCACAGAACTTTGGTGTAATCTTTAGTAACGTACTCTTACTAGGGAGAGGCTTGTTGTTTTCAAGTGCTCTTATCTCGTCAGGAAAGCACTTTTGCTGAGCCGCCCTGATGATTTGCTCTTCTGCTTCATTAAGTTCCCTTGGGTTCAACTCCCCACTTTCTCGATCGTTTTGAGGCTTTTTGGCATTTGCTAAGAATCGATTAATCCAACCAGTCACCCGCACCAAAGACATTCCGATCTCCAGCTTTCCTTTTGGCTTGGTTCTGTACCATTTTGAATACTCCATTGGGTCTGGTGTGCTCTTTGGTTTGACTGTTTCCACGTAATAGCTCTGTGCATTCATGCTTAGCTCCTTTTCCACGAGCTGTTCTCGTTTCTCTGATTTAACTTCTTTGTAAGCTTCTGGGGCTTTTCCAAATTTTCTCTCTGGCCACTCATCTTCTCTACGTTTTAGAAACGGGGGTCCATACCACCAGCAGTCATCCTTAACTAGCTCTTGAACTGAAGCTCCTCGAGTCCCTTGATCCGCAGGGTTGAGTTTCGTAGGAACGTACCGCCATTGGTCTGGACTGCTCTCGTCATGAATTTCCCCAACCCGGTGGGATACAAAAGGTTTAAAATTTCGACTCTGTCCTTGGACCCAAAACCCGACATTTACGCTGTCCACCCAAAATGTGGCCTTGTTCCTAGGAAGCTCCAGTGCTGCACATATCTTCAATGTCAGTCGGAGACCAGTCAGTGCTCCCAGGAGTTCTAACCGCGGAATGCTCATGGCCTTCAATGGCGCCAACCTTGACTTTGCTGCGACTAATCTTGTGCTAACTGTTCCATCTTCATACTCATGGCGAACGTACGTTGCTGCGGCATAAGCCTTCTCAGACGCGTCACTGAACGTGTGAATAGTAACATCTCGGAGTTCCTTGTCTTCCTTCAGACATCGTAAAACACGGACCGCACCAAGTTCTCCAAGTTCCCCGAACCATCTATTCCATTCCATTTTAAAATGATCTGGCAATTCTTCATCCCATCCGAGAGCTTCAATCCAAGATTCCTGCATCAGCATTTTAGCTCGCACTACGAAGGGCGTCAGAAATCCAAAGGGGTCATAAATTGAGGCCGTTTTCTTCAGCACGTTCCTCTTTGTTAATACCAATTCGTCTGGGGGTGGAACAAAGGAAAATGAGAACTTGTCTTCCTGAACAATCCACACGACTCCCAAGGTCTTCGTCACTGGAAATTCTTTCTTTTCGAGATCCACTTTAGTTGCTCGATCAGCTTCTGGTATGTCCATGATAACTTCAGGCTTCTGAGAGATCCATTTGCCAATGTGAAATCCTGCTTTATCTCCAAGCTCGGTTAACTGCTGTCGCATCTCCTTTGCTGTTTCCACCGTTTCCACTGAAGGCATCAGGTCATCCATATAACAACTGTTCTTCACCGCTTCAGCTGCTAGAGGATACTCTGCTCTGTGATCATCCGCATGCTTCTGCCACACATACTGCGCACAAAAAGGACAGTAACACCCTCCGAACACATATCTCAAGAATTCGTAAACTTCTGGCTCCTTGCTCTGATCCATATTTCTCCATAGAAACCTGTGTAGTGGCCTGTCTTCAAGAGTAAGGGCAAGCTGATGATACATTTGACTTACGTCACCCACCAGGGCAACCAGTTCCTTTCGAAATCTGACTAGAATGCTAAACATGTCCGCTTGCAGTTTCGGTCCCGGTAACGCTTCGCTGTTCAAACTCTTTCCTTGGAACGTAGCTGACGCATCAAATACAATCCTCGTTTTCGTTGTAGTCCTGTCAGCACGCACAACGGGAAAATGGGGAAGTAACCATTCTTCAGTGGGTGTCGGCTCATCTGGCGGCACTCGGCGGATGTAATTCTTCTCCAAATATTCTTCAATGACTTTCTGATAGGACTCTGCTATTTCTGGATTCTTTGCCAATTTTCGTTCTGTGGACTCCAAGCGCTTCTCAGCTAACGGCCTGTTGTTTGGAAGGCTTGGTCGCTCACTCCGCCAAGGAACAGCTACTACGTAATGATCATTCTCGAACTTGATTGACTTGCTCACTTTATGCCAGGCTGCTGTTTCGTCAGTAGTCATAACCGGTTTAGGAGGTGTAATTCCCATGGTTTCTAGGTCCCAGAATCTCTTCAACAACGCATTCAAATCATCTGACTGTTCCACTGTCTGTGCCACTTCTCCAAACTGTTGCATACGAAAAGTATGACACAAACTGGTGTGGTGATCTGCTCCTGTGTTCTCCATATTTATCCTCCCCACTGCCGTCCACCCGAGAGGACAAAGTCGTGCACATGGCTCCTCGGCTCCACCAATCACTTCTCTCTTGGGGTACATCAATTGATAGTTATCAGTTCCGAGCAACACATCAATCTTTCCTCGATTCGCAAGCTTTGGGAATGGAATGTCCTGCAAATGGTTCCAATTGCCCTTAATCCTAACCCAGTCAACTGCTTTCATCCCACGGCAGATTTTCTCAGAAGACTGTGTTACAATCTTAGCGTCCACACTACCGTCAACACTCTCTAATCCAATAGTGAATGTCATGGATGGAAAACGAACTTCCTGATCATTAGCAACGTTCACAGTTATCAACTCTTTCTCCCCTTTGACCCCGAGCTCCTCAACTACATCTTCATTAACATATGTAGTGTCACTTCCCTCATCCAAGAAACAATTGACAAGAATTCTCTTCCTACCGTGTTTCAAGATTGCTGGAACAGTTCGCAGTGCCACTTTTTCTGCTTTCTGTAGTTTTAGCGAGGTTGAATTGGTGTTAGCATCCCCCTCCGTGCTAAGCCCGCCGCTTTGTTCTCGAATTCCTTGTGACAGAATGTTGTCATCTCTGTTTGACTGGATTTCCTTCTTCCTTGAATTGTCCTGGCCAACTGAAGCTGGGTTGACTGGGACTGGGTTCCCTGAGGCCGTGTTCCTTGAGGCTGAGTTTCTTGAGGCTGAGTTCCCAGGGGTCGAGACTGAGAGTTGTTTCCATTTCGATTCCCATGTAACAACCGGTTGTGTCGGTCCCTGCATCCATCAATGTTACACACTCTACTTCTTGGGCACTCCCTCCCAGATGATCATCACCCAAACATCTGTAACAGAGTCCTAGTTTTTTCGCCGTAGCCCATTTTTCCTGAATTTTTCTGCTTTTAAAGACATCGCAATTCCATACAGCATGGCCTTCCCCACATACTTTGCATGTTCCCCTCTTTTTGTCATCAGTTCGGTTACTTCCAAAAGACTTACTTCTTCTGTTGTGAAATTTGCCGCTTGAATTTCCTGATTTTAAACCATGTTTAATTTCAGTTGCTTGAATCTGATATTCAGCTTCTTCTGCAGTCCAATCTTTGAGTGTAATTAGAGACTCGACCCTTCTATTTTCTTTTACCCAGCGAATGTATTGAGACAATAATTTCTCTGGCAGTTTTTCAAGAATGATAGTGTACAAAGTTCCCGCTTCTAAATCAGCCGCTCTATTGTTCTCCTGTAGATTTATCACTGCCCTCTCCAACATGTCTGCAAATTTTTCCAATTCTTTTGAATTTTCCTCTCCGATTGGCTTCAGTTTTATTAATTCGTCTACATGACACTGAATTTCCCTACGATTTCCACCGTATTTTCTCAACAACCTCGACTTAGCAGCCTCATAAGCAGCTTCAGAATATCCTAAACCCTTAATCGTTTCTAAAGCTTCGCCCGCTAAACATGCCTCCAATCTCAACATCTTAAACTGAGCAGACATTGCAGTCGCATCCACGCAACTCGTAAATGTTGCGTTCCAGTGCTGAAATTCAGTTTTGTTCCCGCTAAATGTTGGAATGCGAATTCTTTCTAGGTTATTCACCCCACTATCAACCTTCCTTTGCGGCAAACTGGTGTTAGAGTTACTCGAGTAAGATGGTGGACTTACCGGTCGTGTGTTCCGTGTTACTGAAGTCAAGACGCGACGAGCGGCGCTAGCTTCACCTTCAATTCTTTCGTTTAATTCATCCGCTTCATCCCCGACTTTAACTTGCATTTCAGTGTTCTTTAGCTCCTGATACAATGTCCGTAATTCTTCCAGTATTTCGAAAGTTTTTTCCTTAATCTTTTCCAAACGCTCCAAAGTAGCTTTAATTTCTTCAATTTCTTCAAAACTTCTTGGTTCAACGCCGCCGCTGACGCCAGCAACCCGACTCGCTAACTCATTTAGCTGTCTTGTTATCGCCCCTTTTAATTTCCGTTTTTCCGCTTTTAAAGCTTCCACTTTCATCATACGGTCTTCGGCTGAATCTTCTTCGTTGTCCGACATTCTTCCACTGATTTCCTTAGTAAAATCCACAAAGTTTCTTCACCTTTGACGAAAACAACACTACTGTCAACTCGCGGAACACAAATCCTCCACGTCCAAGACCGTTTTCCTTTGAAAATTCCAACTTTTAATCCACTTTATCCGGCTTCGAAGGACCAGAAATGTTTCTCCTTAGGTTCCTAAATTTTCTCAGTCCTCTTCCTAAAAAAGTCCAGAGTTCCCATTGAAAAAATCCCGTAAAAAAGACAAAAAAACATCCACACAAGATTTTTTTCTATGGCGTAAGCGCTCGTCCCCTAAATCCGGGGACTTTTATTTGAAACTGTCAATCTTCCCGCGCGTAACGTAATTTCCGGTAAAAATGCACTTCCGGTTCGCTCTTACAAACAATTCTTTTAGAAAAAAGGCACAAGAAATAATCCTTAACACCCTTTTCAAATATTTGTAATAAACTTGAAATCTGGAAATACTGCCTAAATTGGGTTGGTACTAACCATAATGGCCTATACAGCGAGGCTCTTCCAAAAAGGGGTACCTTTTTCAGGCTTCTGGTATATGAAAGGGAAGTAATTTCACTAGTTGAAGTACATGAAAGGGTAGGGAAATCTGTCATTGTAGTCTGTAAAAAGGCCTAGAAGGGCTAACAGATGCATTTTATGGTCTTGAAAAAGGCGAGAAAAATGTTCTGGCTTCCTGATTTACTCATATTTATCATTCTAAACTAGATATGTGAAAGGGGTACCATTTGTCAAAGAAAGGTATACGAAAGGGGTACCTTTTCTGGCAAAAGCGGTATATAAAAGGTAAAGGGTGGGGTTGGACCTCGGGGAGGTTCTCCCTGTATAAAATTTTGTTGAGTACCCCACTCGTATACTCAGGATTACATTTACACAGACCTCCATGTTGTATAACAATGTTAATAAGACATTTACCAGGCAGTAGATGTAGTTAATGGAACATGAAGCCCCAGGGGGGGTAGGCTAAAGTAGCCTGCACCAATGTATGCTCTGTTCGATCTCTAAAGCCTTATTTATGAATGAAAGCATGCTAATTTTAAGATACAAACAAAGCTGTTCGTGGTTGGAACCCGACTAATTTGTCGTATGTTTGTCATCATATTTTTCTTAGCGTTGTGCAGATTGGTCTCTGTTTTCAAGGCCCTATTCATGGCTAGACTTTAATCACGATAAGACTAGGTAGCTTATGGTACAACTGTATTCATTGGTCGAGTTTTAAGACGCTCTCTAGCTATAAAGTTCTGCTATTTCAGACCTGGTCATTATTCGTCTAGCTTGCATGAAAGCAAACAGTTACAGTAATTTTGTTACCCACCCTCCCTCACTATGGAGGAGTTTTGTTGTGTTAGGTATCAATAAAGTTTGGGGGGTCACTCCTTGTGGTGCGGCTAAGTCTGCGTTGCAACTTCCCCCAAGTTTTTGGTATTGCTTGTGTCTTGCCATCTTATTCATTTGCCTTAATCTTGTCCGATCCAGCCCGTGCGGCGCTGGGGAGATAAGAAAGGCTCTGCCAATACTCTTGTCCTACCCCACGGTAGTGGGGCGATAAGTGAGGCTTGTGTTTTTGCTGTGCGCATAACCTGAAGTCGCTAGAACCTGCCACAGGGCTGTGTCCCCCCTTATTACGCCATCTTGTAGTAATTGTCTTATTTGCCTGCGTGCGCTATTTAGTTGTGTTACCTTTCCATGCGTATCTTAAGCGGAATAGTGACATTAAAGTAAATGCGTGAGTCAAAATTAAACTTTTATCTTTTAGGAAAAGCTTATTTTAGCAGCATCCCATGAAGGAGCCTGTAGAGTCTGGACATTTGCAGATCAGAGACTTCGGGTAGGTGTAGGTGCAGCTGTGGCTTGTGCAACCCTAAAAATTCTGTAAATTTCTGCTCTTGAAAGTGCACCTAAATATAAGAACTATCCAAACTAGAAAGATCTCTGTATCTCAGTGATTTCCCAGCTAGCAGAGGTCTTTCACAGCAAGAGAAAAATGATAGGGAAGAGGGAGACCTCTGCCGGCCCTTGATGCATTTTCTATCATGCATGAACTGACATTTCCTTAACAACTAGTAGCGATTAAGTGACATGCAACACAATTTACAGAACCAGTCTGCGTAATAACAACTGTGGACTCAGAAATTTCCAGCTTGCAGTCTCAACAGGGCTAGCACATTCCAAATAAGCCAAACCGGTTTTGAAAACCAGTGAATGTGGTAGGTGGCTACATGAAGAACGCATCTTGGCCAGCAGAGGTCTCTCTCTTTCCTCTCCTTCTTCTCTTGGTGTGAGAGACCTTTGCTAGCAGCAAACATGAGATGTTCTTGAACAGAAGTTGCACTGTACGAGTCTTGTATTTCATTCAGTGGCAGTCCACTTTGATAACTTGATACCATAGTTAATGTAGGAGTCTAGATATCAAAGACAGCAAAAATCGGAGATAAAAACAACGGTTTTGCAGTTTATTTTGGGAGCTTCCTTATGATGCAAAATACTTTTCTGTTGCTGACAAGTTGTTACGGAATAAAATAATCCGACTTTTTTGTCGATCAGTAAGATCAAAATGATAGGAATGCTACTACTAAGCATTGTGCACTATCAAGTCCACAAAAACACATAACAGTGGAGTCTGACAGGCTTGATAACAATCCACTCAATTAACGATATTGATACTTACATGTAGCTTGTTTACCAATCAAAACTATTAAACTTATTTAATTTTCTCTAATTTATTAATTTTATCACAGCACACACTTACAGGACATTCTCAAAAAGTGATGACAGCAAAATTTTTTGGAGCAGCAACGAAAGTGGTTTCCGGAGGTCATGATAGGACATTAAAAATTTGGGATCTAAGAAGCAGGCAGTGTAAGTCTATTGTAGCCAGTACTAACAGAGAATATGCTGAAAATTTCAGCTGTTAGAAAAGTTCGGGTTTTTTTAAAACAGCTTTCATGCTTACAGTCAATAAGACCATTGTAATTATTATTATTATTATTACAAGCCTTTCACCACATAATGCAGGAAATGTTAATGAGTATCCAGTCACACCCTGTGGCGTAGGATACTCCGTGCCATCATTCCGTCCTTTTAATTGTCCAGCACTTTTCACAGAATCCTTCCTGACATCATCAGCATCATCATATGATGACGATGACAATGATGATGATGATGATGACAATGATGGCGACAATGAAGAAAAAAACAGTGGGGGGTGGGGGGGGGGGGTAGGGTGAAAATTGAGCAGAAACTGGAATATGCTCCGGTAGTGTGGTGGACCTCCTTGGCTCGTGTTTTCCTTGGATGCCTATTAAACTGTTTATGACAACCATAATGATTGGTTATTCAACAGAATATTTTTATTTCCTATTGTAGGCACAAGGACAATATTTGCTGGATCAAGTTGTAATGATATTGTAATCAATGAAGGGATTGGGTAAGGAGTGAAGAACTATTTATAACAATATGCAGCACAGTCAAAATGAGCTGGCCTCCGGTTTAATGATATTAAGTAAAAACCAAACAAGTTTTTAAATGCCTTTGCTGCCTGCTACTTGGGTTATCCTGTCTACTACTGCAAGACATTTTGATGGGGCTGAATTTGAAAACAACATTAAAAGTATAATTATAACTGGTGGAGTAATTTCAGCACCATAATTGTCAATGAATGGCTCAATTCATTTGCACATCATTTTGGTGTATAATTTATTTTCTTTTCAAGTCTTATTTTTATGTATTCTGAAAGTGCGGATGATTCAGATAAAAACAAGTTTCCACTGTGGTTGTAATGGAAAACTTTTATCCATATTCAGGTCACAGGTGGCTAGTGGTCATTTAGACAAGACTGTAAGATTTTGGGATATAAGGTGAGAATATGTTACGCACATACTTTGGGCAGGCGTGGATAACTTGATGGATAGTGACCTTCTGAGTATGTGAGCAGTCCCAAGGAGGACAGTGGGGGAGGGAGAGAGGGGAGAAGGTTCTCCCCTCACCCCCTCCCTCATCATTTTCTTTTTTGCCCTCAGTTCTGCTTTCGCGCTGCTCAATCTCTTACTTTACGAACAACAAATAAAAAAACCGTGAGCTACGCAGGCCATAATTGAAACGGAAAATGAGCTACCTACAAATAAATGTTCTTTAACCGAATAATAACTACCCTGGGTGCCAGAGACTTTTCTAGCGCGGTTTCCGGTTTCTGTCAAGCCGCTCTTGGCTTCGGCCTACGGCCGAAGATGTGTCGGCCTTCGGCCAACACCGAAAATTTCCGCCGCACGCGAGAAAAACCTCTGGTACCCAGGGTAAATAATAACCTGTGTATAAATGCAAATACAAATAAAGGTACATCGAGGAAATAAACTAAAAGAAATCAAAATTACACACCGGGCGATGAAGATATATCCAACATTGATAAAGGATACATAACTAAGCGCTGAATGACAATAGACCACTTCTGAGTTCCAAAAACCCTCACTTTCAAAATGAGGCCAAGCGCACAACCTTTCTTGTGGAAAGGAGTTCCATATCAAAGGCTGAGGCCTTGACCTCGTCTTGATACAGAGGCCCCGGGGGAACTCTGAAATGGCCTGGTACGAGCGTTAAACTTGAAAGTGGGGGCAAGGGCCTGGAACTAAAATAACTGCTGACCCTAAATCAGTTAGCCTGCCACACAGGCGTTTTTAGGGAGTCGTATTTCCTCCCTCCCCACCCCTTTAAAAACGCCTGGGTAGGAGGCTTTTATTTTTACTTTTTTTCCTTTTTCCGTTAGAACTGAAAATCAGTCACCCGTTGGAGAAATAACTCTTCAGGGAAAAATAACGTCGCTAGATTTAACTCTTGGTAAGTGACAGTGTTGGACTAAACGAAGTGCCAATGAATCGGCATTAATTTTATTCAGGAAAAGTACCACCGAAATGTTTCATTTGAATGATCTTCGGAGGAAAACTGAAATGAAGGAAAAGGGTGGCTCTATAGGCTCTAATAGATACTAGCCTCGTTCCCAGGGTTCTCTCCTACAACGAGTTGGAGAGAACCCTGGGTGGAGGTTGCAGCTGTACCACAGTTAACTCACGCAGGACTGCTTCTGTAACAGGGTTTATTCCAGAGTGCGGGTTTGCGGGATTTCCGCGGTTCAAAAAAATAATGCCGCGAGAAATCCATGTTAGTGCGTTAAACGGGCCGCTGAGCCAGTAATCTGAAGTAAAGATCAGTAAATACCGTACATAGACATTACTTGAGAAATCAGGGTTGAAGTGTTATGACATCTTTTCCGCTGTGACTTAAAGATCATTAAAAGAAAAAGTAAAATTGATTTGAAATCAAGTGGAACAGAACTTTTGAAATATCTTGGGTCCCATTTTCTCCTTTCTTGAAAAAGGGCCCTTCTGCAATCTCACACGGTGGATCCATATCTATGTGGCCCTCTTAGACAATTCCTGGAATACATCCTAGTCAATTCGCCACTTAAGAAACGAGACGGAGACTGGGTCGAGCTATGGCCAATAGCTGACCGGCCTATCCCCAGTAACGATCTCAGAAACAATAGACCTTTTGCATTAGTTGAGCACGTGATCAACTTTCGGTAAAAACGAAAACAGTTCGCTTTTGAAATATTTTGTTAGCACGAGCTGAAAGAGCATATTCAAATTACATAAGTAACCTGTAAATTTTCAAAAGCGAACTGTTTTCGAGTCTACCGACAGTTGAGCACGTGATCAACTAGTGCAAAAGGCCTGTTGAGGAACACAACTCGGCTCCAATCGCATTCTCGTTTCAAAAGTGGCGAGTTCCTAGAATAAAACCCCCTAAATCTCTGAATTTTTTGTTGCTTTGTTAGATTTGAACTACATGTTAGCAAGTGCGCGAGATGACACCGTTAAATTGCTTGATTTGCGAATGAATCAAGTTATATCGACGTGTTCGTAAGTACTTCGAAATACTATTTTATAAAGTACTTTTAGTGCAGCTTCCATTTGTCATAATTATTTTGAGACTTTGTACTGTCATATTGTGGGCGCTTTCCATTTGTCAGAACTGACCGGCCAGCCCATTCCCATCGTAATAAGAATTTCACTTTTGATTAAAACTAACCATCCAGATCAGTCAAATCTTAAATATTATACACAAAGGAGATGGTTTTTTAGCAAAACCTCTTGAAAAAATCCTATTTCGTTGCCAAAATGTCTGGTCCGGCCGGCCAGTTCTTACTTTTGGAAAGCGCCCTGTGATTAGTAATAATCCCAGTATTTTCAAATGCACTAATTAACGTCTCTCTCTTAATTTGATCTCATTTTTTTCTAAACCAGCTATAACAGCTATACCGTTCGTTCTCGTTTTTGTTCCACTGCGAAATATTGAAATAAGAATAAGGCATTATGTCAGTCGAAAAATAAGGCTCATCTCCGGTGTAATATAATTTATTATTCACACCTGACAGAAAACAAAGAAAACGAAACATCCTTAAACCTACCCCTGTCAATAGTCCATTAAGCAAAGAAAACGAGTTAATTATATTACACCGGGGATACGCCACTTGCACATCTCCCATAATGCTCCTTGTGTGCCCCCCAAAATTTTGCATAACCTTTGTTTTTCATTTCTCCTGGGTATTACAGCCATCCGAAGAGAACTTGAAACCAAAGCTTATGAAAAATTTTGGGGGCAAATAAGGGGCATTATGAGAGATGTGCAAGTGGCGTATGACCCAAAAATAACGGGGACACATGGCCAAGAAGCCTGCAGAACAGGAGGAATAGGCTATTTCCGAGTTCCAAAAACTCTTACTTTCAAAACGAGGCGAAGTGTAAAACCTTTTTTTGTGAAAATGAGTTTAGTTTGCATAAAAATGTAAAATAATTTTCATATCAAAGGCTTCGCACTTACCCTCGCTTTGAAACAGAGGCTTGGGTAACTCGGAAATGACCTATTTTTCTCTCTTTCATGGAAACAAAGACATGCGCTGGGTGGGCGTGGCTCGCGGCACACGCGCAGCGAAAAAGGATGCTTTCCGCGTCCAGCGTGTTTCGCACTCCTTGTCTGTCTCGCGCTAGCCTTCGTTGTTCGCATGAAAAAGGTAGAACTGAACTGCAGAGACGTGGTCGAGTGGCTAACGCGTCGGAGCGGAGATCTTGGGTTAGTGTGCCATTCTTTTTTGGTGTTCCTGTTCAACCTCTGGGCCATGCTTTTATATGCAGATGGACCTCTCTACAACGGCCACCTTGGGGACAGAGGAAAGTGGCCGTTGTAGAGAGGTTGAAACAAGAGTGATAGACTACGAGTAGTAGTCTTTGACTGTAGCCAACTGGTTTGCCTTCTGCTAGTCGAAGTTTTAATTAGGTTATGCATGATTCAGATTATTCGAGTGGAGGGTCATTCAACTAGCTAGATCAGCTAAGTACATTAGTCTGCGTAGCGAGCGTTTGATTGGGTGGGGGGAGAGAGAAGAGAGAAAAGGACAGCCTCTCACTCCCCTGTTTTCCATTTATTCGTTCCAGTTCCAACGTTCTCAACAAACTCTCGCGAAAACCCTTTCTACATCGGCTACATTTACATCGCTGTGATAGTATTTTTTGTTTCTTTGTTTTGGTTTCCATTTGGTTTTGGAAGTAAAATTGGAACTTAGACTTGGTTGCTAATTTGGTGAATTATTTATTTGTTTTATTGCTCTGAAGTGCCGATGGCTTTAAAGTTGCAATGGATTACACAAGAGCATCTTTCAGGTAACATCATGCGGTATACTTTTGTTGTTTCCTTCCTTTAGGAAAATGCTTGGCTTATGTAGTTAATTGCTAATACATGCAGTGAAAATAATTTTAATTGATTTCTTTTTTATCACTTATCACTTTCAAAATAATAGCGCTATCAACCCTCCATGTGTTCCGTCACGTTTAGAGAACTGAGGTGTCCCCTGAATGGAGGTTAAACCCGAGTTTCGAGACCCAGAAAAAGTGTCCCTTTCCCCTGAATAGAGGAGTCCTTTCAATAGAGGTAACAGAAGAAAGGTTATGTGAACTTTTTTCCTGGACCAAATCTTGTGTCCCCTTAATGGAGGTGTCCCAAAGGAAAGGTTTCCTTGTATGCTTTAATTAAGTGTTACTTGATTGTTACTTGATCGCTTGCGATAACTTAAAAACGAAGGAAAGTATCAGCTTTTAATTTAATGATTAATTTTACAAAAGTGGTCTAGGTCGCTTACGATAGCTATTCACTACAGAGTTTAAGTCACAGTTCAAAAGGGGGTTTTGCGATGCTGGTCGTAATACTAACTAGGGCTGGTCGCTTATGAGCGGGATCGCAAGGGGAGCGTCGACTGTATCTACATCAGACGACTGAGCGTTATCCTCAACAGACTATTTACGTGTAGTCACTGTCAGTTATTCTAACCTTAGGGAGCTTGAGCAACAACGACGGCAACAAGAACGCCACGTAAAAAAAGTGAATTCGTGAAACTTTATCGCGCTTATTCCATCTCATTCAATTCCTCAAATATTGGCAAGAGTTGAATTCTAAAAGACTGTGTCGAAGTTCAAGAAAAGAAAAAGAAAGTCGTTGTCTTGTGTTCGCGTCCTTCATCAAACGTGAAACGAGGAAGTTTCACGTCGTAGTGCAGTGACGGCAAAGAAATGTACAAAAAAGCGTGATGCACGTGCAAAGCTGTTGTTTTGCTAATCTAAACCTATTGCTTTTTTGACGTTCTCGTTGCCGTCGCCGACACTGGAAACCGCTCTAATTAAATGTTTATCTTTGCACTATTGTATCTTTTTCAGTCCTGATGGCCAGTATGTGATATGTGGCTCTCACGATGGTAGTATCTTTGTATGGAATGCATCATCGGCAAAGTTGGAAAAGGTGCTGAAAGAACACACGTAAGTGAAACGAACTGTTGTGATGTTTGATCAGCCTATGTATAACTTTTTAAATAGCGCACAGGCGATGTGTTGTTGGCAGTTAGCCCACGATAGTGTAGTGGATACGGATTTGGTTTATAAATCAAATGACTTATTTGATTTATAAACCAGTGCGAGTTCAAACCTTTCTAACCCTGTTTTCTTTCTTCTTCTATTTACTACATTAAGTAGTTAGACTATGGGCCCTTTGCACGAAACGTTCAAATGTACTAATGGCGCGCATGGCCACCCGTAAGGGCTCAATCTCTATGATCTTACGAATAAATAGGGGATTGTGAACAGTCTAGACTTAACCCCCTATGGGAAGTTTTTGTTATTGTGATCGACTGTATGTTTTTGGGATCATTGTATAAAGGTTTAGCAAAGCCTAAAAGCGGAGCTTCCGATTTCAATAATCGAGGAATACGTGATAGTACGCCATGTTGCTTGGAAACACAAAATGCTCTGTGACGTCAACAGTGGATGACGTCAGCTATAAATAAGAAATATATAGGAGCGTTGGCAACTCGAATTTCTGCCTCGCTATGCAATCAGCGCGCGACAGATTTATAGACCTGTTTCTGGCTAACTGGCCACCTACCCCTCCCCTAAGTCACAATTTTGCCCCAAGTGAGAGGTAAGTGTTAATGTTCACCTAGGGGAGGGGTAGTTGGTTAGTTACCCAGAAACCTCCATTGATCCTGTTTTTGTGGTATTTTTCTCAACAGTTCATCCGTGGTGGTGTGCGCTTGGCACCCTGATGGCTCCAATATTATCAGCTGCGACAGAAACAAGAGAGCAATCATCTGGACAAACCGGTATTGAGGTCTTCTCGCAGTCAAAGAACAAAAGCCTGACCCTCCCCACCCTAGCTATTGCTAGTGCCGCGGCTCCTGCGATCGCCAAATGACGTAATACTAGACAAAGTACAACACCAATAATACAGCCCAGTAACCCTTTTAAAGCCCCAATATCCACAAAGAAATTCTCCCAACTGATCTCTATAGATTTTCTTCAAAAATTAGTCAAGAGAATTTGTTAAAATATCAAAGCATTTTCTCCGTGGTTATCCTTTTATTACAGGAAGGAGCTTAAAAGTGTGACGGCTTTTGATTTATTCACATTCTTTCGTCCTGAATTGATCCAATCAGAAGGCAGCTAAAAACTGTCCTCGACTTCTGATTGGTAAATGTCTGCATGAAAGAATGTGAGTTAATTAAAGGAGGTCACACTTTTGGCCTCCTTGCTGTAATTCTTGTAACCTCTCTACTCGATTTTGTTTTGATATTGTTTGGAGATAATTGATGTTGGTCACTTTGGGGGCTTATAGGGATAACTAACAAAAAGTAGTTTTGGCAATGTCAACATATGGGAGGGGGATGCCCATATCAGAAGGGATTTGGGAATTGGGATGCCCAAAACGCGTGCATGCCCATATCACTGTAACAGCGCCACTGGCGATGCAAGTAGTAGACTGGGGATGAGTTAGGCGAAATGTAGGATTTGAGTTGGAGGCTTTTTCGAATCAGGGATGTTGAAGCAGCTAACATGTGCGACGTGAAACATCGTACAGTAAAAACCCACGAGTAAGAACCTGGTTTTTAAGAACCTGTTGGGCTAAAATTTGCCAGCTAGACCCCCTCTATTCAAGAACCTGTTTAGCCTAAAATTTGAAACAGTTCCTTATTCTCTAAAATCTTTTTAAAAAAATTCTGCACACTTGGCGAAATAAGATTACAAAGTGTTATTTAACGTTATAATTGTATATGTAAGAGTTTAATTAACTGTTAGAGCTGAGTGTAATTGGACAAGGTATGACAATACATGTATGTTATGTTCGGAAGGACGACGTCAGAATTCATGCGGCCAGTGCTTCAGTTCTTCTTTTTGTGGTCATTTTTACTTAAATACTAATTTGGTAGGCGGATTTTATATAAGGAATAAGCTGAATACCACTAAATACTCTTAGCTACACAATATTTTTTTCTTCAGAAAATAAGAACCTACCTAAGAACCAAGAGAGAATGGTCTCTCTTGTCAAGAACCTAAATAGCCTACATTTGTGCTAATTGCCATGTAATAACCCAGCTGTTTAGTCTTACCTGGGAAAATGCATGTTCTTACTCGCGGGTTTTTACAGTATTTTCAAGTTGGTAGTTCAGTGGCGAAATTGTTTTCGAAATATTAAAGTAACAAAAATTGAGGTAAGAAGTGCAATTTCAAAAAGTTTATATTAGATAAATATTAGAAATTTACAATTTGCGCAAATGGTAACTCTAGGGTAACTCAGCAGACGTCATCTTTAAAGTTTTCATTGTATATAGAGGGGGACCATGGTCTCTCCAGCAAAATTAAATTTCAAAGAATAAATGATTTCTTTCTATTAAGTTGCTGGCAGGTGGCGTATATTTTGAAGCATTTCGCCGAATTTAAATGTTTCAGAGGTCATAAGCACCCAGTTTTTAATTCGTGAAACCCCTGTGGTGGTTGGAAGCTACTACTGAATGTTATTTTCGGACAATTTGTTAGCCTGAGAAAACAGCCGAAATAGCGTCTGAGTAACGAGCACAGAAATTCCAGACTGATGATGCGCCACTTCCAAGATCTGGCTGCCTCCTCCTCAGACTTTTTATTTCGCATGGAGGCGAGCGCGAAACGCGAATGAGTGGTGCCGAGGACCAATGGACTGTGGAAAGGGAGAAAAAAAATAAGAGAGGCGAAGGTGTCGCCCATTTTCTCCTTCCCGCCTTCCTTTGTGCGCAAATTTTTATCGAGAGAGAGGCGTCTGCGTACGAGGCAGAAGATCTGAGTACTGCCACGTCATTTTTTCTACGCTCGTTTTTCAGACGTCATTTCGCGGGGAAACCAGTGGTAGCGTCGCGAAATGCGGCTGTTTCTTCAGGCTAACAATTTCAATTTTTTTTTAATTCTAACAACCTATTTCATAATACCATGTGGCACTGAGTAAATTTTTCGGCACTTCAGTTCTCACTGTGAGCGTCGTGTGTTTTGACGGCTACTAATTTTTGCGATTGGAAGACGGATTTTTCTTACTGGGAATTAATTATTGGGATTTTCATCAAGTTTCATACAGCTTTTCTGAGCTAAGTTGAGGAACGGTGCAAACAGATGTACAGAGGAAAGTGCATCCACGGCACAAAAGGCGTTGGGACGATCAAACAAAGAGCGCGTTCTCCTTCCCCTCATTGTGATACGCTCCATATTAAGAAAACTAGGAAAATGGTAACTTATTTTCACTATGTTGGCCGATCTTCTCTGCTCGCTACCGGGAGCGTGCAACTCCCATACTCAGCCTATGTAACGGCGTTTTTAAAGATCACGTTATTTTTAGCATTATTTTGGAGCTCTTTTTCTTGCGAAAATGCAAGCACCGTTTCATAATTGTGCGTGCGCCTCTATCGTACGAAAATTACAAAAAAGGAGAAGTAAATGCTTTCAATACTATTTTCCAGTCTACGGGTTCTGATCACTGATTTTTAAGACTTATTTGATATTCAGTATTCACGGGAAATCGATCTAAGAATAAATTGGTCTGTGAAAACGCCATTGTATGGGCACAAGGGTTGCTCTCTCCTGCTGATGGTCTCCTGTCGCTACCGATTTTAAAACTTTGTTTTAGGTTAATACAATGGCTAACACGCTAGCATTCACGGTGGAGGGGGGGGGGGGTACCCAGCAAAGTTCTTTATGGGGAGGGTTTGCCCAAGGTTCAACCCCTTACCCTTTTATATACCATTTTTGACAGAAGAGGTAACCCTTTTGTATACCTTCTACTGACAAATGGTACCCCTTTCACATACCTAGCTTGGAACTTTGTATCCCTTTTAACTGCTCCAAATGCAATCCCTCTGTAGCCCTTTTAGGTCATTTTACTGCAGAACGAAAAAGAAAGAATTCTCTACTCTAAACCTGAAGCCAAAAATGGTTTCCCTTTTAGGCATACCCTTCCAGTATAGGCCATTAAAGGGTGTACCCCACCCCTCCAGAGACCACTCACTTCTGTGATGCACGGTCTAGAACTGGTTTTAGAATTGTCAAGCCAGGCCCGCTTTTCTCTAAAGCTTGTTGGTCTCGGGAATAATTGAAGTGGAAATTCTCATCCTTTTTAAATCCTAAAAATGGGTAAACGAACTGATGGGCATGGCCAGTTAGAAACTCTTTCCTGTCAGTTGGGGGCCGGATGCAAAATAATATTTTCTTGAAAAACTTCCTAAAATGGCAGCATTTAAGGTTATGTCTTTTCATTTTACTGGCCGCTAGCACTGTTAGTTTAGTAGCTGTGTTGGTGCTGATCTTTCATTCTTAAGAAACAATCATTGAAATTAAATGAGCTGTGACATTCAGTTAAGTTAGAAAATAAGCAAGTTCAAGTGACAGGTGTAAGTAATGTTTCAAATTATTTTCCTTTGTTTGTTCCGTCATCGCATCTATCGCAACACAATTTTCGACCTGGGTTTTTGTCATATTTTCTGTTAATAAAGGTACGGTAGCCAGCGAGCAAGCTCTCAATTTGGGGTAAGAACGAGAAGTCATGCGAGAGCCACACTCAAAAGAAGACGTGACTGTAAGCGGGGTGGCGTCCACTGCTCGCTTGTGCGTTCGCTTACCACAATTGGAGAGCTTGCTCGCAAGCTAGAGGTAGGATGGCTCTAACAAGACATTTTCCCATCATTAACAGTGGTAAATTTCTTTAAAATCTCAGATTCCAGATAATGGCTTTTGCAGTGTACTTATTATTGTGTTTTAGGAGAAAAACACAGCTTCCAGAGTTTGTAAATACAATTCAGATTGACATTCTGCAGGTGTAGAAAATAAAACTGCTTAAGAAAACATTTGGTTCGCTGGTTCATTCTTATTCAAGTTCAAAGCTTTGCAAGTTCACTTGCTTAGCTACATCAAAACCTCCTTTGGGCCCACTACGATATGTATTTGATGGTGAAGGTGGTACCTGCGTAGTTGGCGGTTTTTTTTTTCTTTTGTGGTTAGTAAAGTAACAGATACAGACGCGAGAAAGCTAAACTGAGGTCAGACAAAATAATGATGGGGGAGGGGGTGAGGGGAGGCAGGCTAGTGAAGATGTAATACAGTCAGCTGAACTCCCTCTAGGACAGATGGACACCTTTAGGACCAGGTAACGAATCCGTCATAGAGAGATGTCTTCTCATCCATGCAACCTTAACTTTAGCGAAGCTTTATATAACAAAGTCCTCGGTATAACAAACAATACTCCCAGCCATAGTAATAGAAAAATATATGGAAATCTACCGGTATTTGGTCAGTCTCAGCTCCCTTGGCCCTTCATTATATCGAGGTTCCACTGTATTACCGTTACAGTATTATCTTTTAGCTATTTCCAACCTTCTTAAAACTCACCTAAACTTGATTAAAATCATAATACTGGCACTCGAGTCATAAAACATACATAAAACATAAAACATAGAGAGATGTCTTCTCATCCATGCAACCTTAACTTTAGCGAAGCTTTATATAACAAAGTCCTCGGTATAACAAACAATACTCCCAGCCATAGTAATAGAAAAATATATGGAAATCTACCGGTATTTGGTCAGTCTCAGCTCCCTTGGCCCTTCATTATATCGAGGTTCCACTGTATTACCGTTACAGTATTATCTTTTAGCTATTTCCAACCTTCTTAAAACTCACCTAAACTTGATTAAAATCATAATACTGGCACTCGAGTCATAAAACTTTTATTTTACAAAATGTTTACAGCCTTAGATACAAGAAGTATGGAATAAATAAATTCATTTAATATAGACTCTTCAAGGAGCTCAAATAGTTAAGGCAGTCAGAGTAGACAGCAAAATGGGATACGTATTACACGCCACTTCTCATTTTGCACCACACCCCAATCCCTTTTCACCTGCAACAAGCGGATCAATTTAGGTTTCTAAGAAACTGCCCACCTACACCTCCCCTAAGCCAACATTTTGCCCTAAGTGAGAAGTAAGTGTTAATGCTAGCTTAGGGGAGGGGTAGGTGGGCAGTTTCCCATAAACCTAAACTGATCACTACAGGCTATATAGGTTATTCATGCCTCTCTCTTCCACAGGGCCTGAGTCATTGGAGCATAACAGTCCTTATATCTCCCCAAGGCTAATTTTTGGCAAATGGGTTTTTTTTCATCTTGTTCTTTCTGAATATGCCAACCAAATAATTTCACAAATATTTTGAATCTTTGTGATGTCACACTGCTCCCCTGAACAATCTTATTGGTTCTATCATAGACTGGATTTAATCAAGTAAATTTGACCAATACAAAAAAATTTAAAACTTCACATTTCAAACTCGAGCCCTCCAGAGAGCCAATTTGCAAAGACAACAAATCCAATAATGTAGATCAGTAACCAATTATTAAGCCTTATGAGCTGCTGGAATGTACAGTGAAAACGTTTAGCAACTGGACCCAGAATTTTTCCATATTTACAAGTTTTAATAGTAACAGTATTATTATCAGGTCAGAAACTTTCTACTAAAATAATATTACTAATAAATGAAACTTTTCTCTTATAAGAACATATTTAAGTGCTAAAGCTTGGTCCTTGTTCAGAATCCCCACTCGGGGCTGACTCATCTCCTTTGTCGCCATGGTGATGATGATGATGATGACCTCTGTGGCCTTTCTTTTTATGGCCGGTGCAGTAAGCATTGTGTGAACATCCATCTTCATCGCTGTCACTCTCAGAAGAAGAGTCTCCAAACATCTTGGGCTTGGAATAAATACAACAACCTGCAAAAACATAACATCAAGTTCTTCAGGTGGATTTCGCATGTCGAACAAGTACAGAAAGGATTGCTCTATGAGGATGATTGAAAATCATACACTTAAGGTAAATTAAGTCACCCAAATATTTAAGCATATGTTGGACTGTAGTCAAGGCTGTGCTCAAAGAAAACCTGTGCGAAGGCCAGGGTCTAATCCTCTGATCTAGGGGTACCTTACATTTATGCTAAGGCTATAATATCCTTGTTGCACCTCAAAGACAAAAAAAGTGACTCACTAGGGGCCACCAGGCACTACTAGAGCAGTCAGCCATTATTGTGTACCCAAACAAAATACAGTCGAACCTCCCGTAAGCAACCACCCAAAATTCAAAGACTGAGTGGTCGCTTAAGGGAGGTGGTCATTTACAAGAATCGAACCACAGAGAGCCTCTTCTGAGAAGAGGTCCAGGCACATCTTTTTGGAAGATAATTTTTTGCATGCAATGTCTAAGTTAGTATATGGTTAGTTCCATGTTGTCACTAAAGTTCTTTGTATATTCTAAGTAACATAGTGCACACAGTGAAAATAGGGATCAGAGAATGCTTCCAGTGGTCGCTTACAAGAGGTTAAAAACAATGAAAAATGATTAACCATCAGGCCCAAAAAGTGGTTGCAGTTGCTTACAGGAGGTGGTTGTTTACTAGAGGCTCCAACTGTAAAGCTTTGACTGGGAAAGTTTTGCTGGTTTGGATAGGTGGTTGCTTATGGGAGGTGGTCGCTTACGAGAGGAGATCGCACTAGAGGTTCGACTGTAATAATCACACAAATTAATTAATAAAAACAACATCACTTATTGTTTAAACTTCAGGAACAAAGGAGTGCTTGTGTATAGACACCATCTGGCCATAGCAAACCTGGCCATGTTTCAAGAGGGTTTACTATTGAAAATGACTGGGGGGGACAGTTTATTGGCACACCTATTTTCTTTGCACAAAAGATATGTTGATATTTACATTTTGATATTTTCTTTCCCATAAACTCGTTATCGACAGCACTCTCATCCCATTGCACCTTCTTGTCTAACTTTGGTTTCTTCAATTTCAGCAAAAGCCGCTGTTGCTGCAAATGAAGGAATGAAAAATAATTTTAAAAATGCTTTCACCAATGATGGTATAACTGAGCAACAGGAGAACTCGAAAAGTGGTTTATGTTATCAGGGGTTTCATTAAAAATTGACTTAGTGAGCAGATTTTAACAGCTAGGGTAACCGACTGTTTCAACAAGGGGCCATTAGTCCCCTTCTTCTTGGGCAGTCTAAGGGTGTCATCCTCCGAGCGGAGCCTCTTACTGTCTTCTTGTGTGTTGTGTGAGGAAGGCAAAAGGTAGGCTCTGTCTGAATCGAGTCAAGCTTTTAAGGTCGCCGCAGCCCAAACTTCTACACTAGGCAATCTTGTTCTCTCTCGTCAACCTGGTTGTTCCGAGTGCCACCATCCTTTCATTGACAAAAACCAATGGTCATAACCGAGCTCACTGTAGCAAGCACACGGCTATTAGGCCTGGGTTCAAAACTATATCCGAGCAACAAGGCATGCATGCTCAACAAAGATCTTACTCAATTCATGCAGAGTCTTTCTCGAGAACACCAAAACAGAGCAAGTGAGAGAGACACTCTACTGGCAGGGTATGCTACCCTAGAAAATTTTGAAATTCCAACACCTTAAAATGCTATTTCCAGCATTTTGGGGACTAGGGTGCATACATGCCAACTCTCCCAGATACGGCACCAATCTCGGGCTCTCCCATACGGGTCACCATATCTCCCACATAAAATCATCTTTTGAGCTTTTCTGTGCCTTAGTTTGTGATTTAGCCCTTTTAGCTCAAAACTTGAATTTCTGTTATTTGCAGTACGGTTTCAGGGGCATTTCTGCATGTATTTAGTCACTGACATCAAAACGATGATTGTGAATTTGGATAGTATGTGGTCAATTTGTCGGGGGGGGGGGTCTGTTGATATCCCTGAGGGTAGTGAAAAAAAGAAAGTCTTTAGATTTTAGTTCTCCAGAGGTTGGCATCTCTGAGGATTACTACAAAAGAAAGTGTTTTCCATGAAAATGTCGCTTTCTAGATCTGTTTATTAATACTCCTGACAAATTCTCTCCCTTTTGTCAACCTACAAAATCCTACAATGCAAAGTAAATGATGATGGATGATCTTAAAATCATTAAATCACTTGGAGTTGAATCATTATACAATAACATCATATCCAACAAACAAACTGAACAGCTGTGAATCACGCCAGCTTTTTTCCGAAACCTTCCCACTGTTCCCACTGGCGAGCGAGCAGTATTCAGCAGTATTCAGCTCAGGGTTGCCCGTGAGTTGGAAATTTCAATCAAAAATTTTACATACCGTGGGGCTCTCAGTTACTTCTTCAGTGACTGTTGTAGTACCACTGCCACCTTCAGAACATTCTGCCATTCTTCTTGGCATCAGAAACAATTTATTTCTCCTGGAATCTTGACGATCACTACTTTACACAAACCGCTTCCTCCATTATATTGCAAAGTGAATTGCTTAGTCACCTCGCGATGTGACGATAAAATAGAACCTTGCGGGGGTAGCGAGAGGTTTTCCTCAGAGAGCCTGCATGTCTTAAAACTCATAAAATGAGCCTAAGAAATTAAATTATTACATGTATTATCCTTATTTTTTCTGCGTTCGAAAACTTTAAAATGTTAAAGACATGTTTATCGAACTAACTCTTTAAATCTTAATAGTACAAGCCTGAGAACAGATAAAGGCCGTTCTTGCTGTTACCCCTCCCCAGAAATAAAAACTTTGTTGTTGTTTTCGTAGTGAAATTACCATACACTACGTTTACCATGGAAGACTTTTGGGACGTGCTAGTTGACAAAAACAAACAGGACGATTTTTACTCTCTCCTAGGCTGCGATGAACTAGCTACCACAGAACAAATTAATGCAGAATTTCGTCAAAAGGCAAAAGAATGTCATCCTGACAAAAACCCTGGAGATCAAGCCGCTAAAAAGTTATTCGAAAGGTTTGTAAACTACACGTCGGGGGTTTTAACACGACTGTTGTTGGAAGAAAAATGTTGCAGAAGTGTTTTCCGCATGCTTGATATACTTCAATAACGAGTGTGATGTTTTAATAGCTAACTGTACTGTCGGCTAATTAGTACCTACGATTATGTGAAGTTATTTAGGTTCGATCGTACTAAATTAATTATCGCGAAAACGGGGTAAAGACTTTAAATGTTACGTCATAAATGCACAACAATAGTGCTCCAATGTAATGACTGCAGAAAATCTCCAAGGATCATATATACCTGTACATTTGTACTTCTTTTTCATTTATTTCAAATTCCAGTGATGAATTGTGTTTGTTTCTTTAAGCCTGATTCCAGAAAATCTATACCAGACGTCTAGTCGTCTGCGGCGGTCACGCTGTGACAATTCTCGAACCCTTCAGACAAACTTTCCAATTTATTTTAGGGATCGCAAACTTTCCATGCTTGTTTGGCTCGATTTTGGTGCAAAAACAGCGACAAGCACACGTCTACGACGGACCATGATCTGAAACACGATCGGCGACCGGTCTTACGTGACGTGAACTTAACAAGCCTTAATTCAGGCCATGTAAGGGGGAGTGATTGTTTACCACTGGATGTAAGATAGAATGCAGTGTTTATTCCTAAATTATACGATAAGCTTGCTTACAAGTCGCTTCGCTACAAAGTCCATCTCAAAAAATCTGTCATGTTAAGTTTGAAAGGTCGATTTTCTCTTTTGAAAATATGAAAGAGTTAATAAAATAGATCCCTTGGGAAGGAAGTTTTAGCGTGGGAAAAACCATATCTCCAATACAGTTATAAGGGAATATTCAGATTAAAAAAGGCTTCTGGTAAGAAAAAGAATATTGGGCAAACTTTTTTACAAAGCTTACACACTGGTAAATCCTTGGTGTAAGAACTAGCCACACTGAGTTATGCAGCACACCTTTTCCTCATATGACATACCCAAAAAACCTGTCACTAGGAAGATATTTTGTTGCAGCATCAGATAACATTATTCAAATTGCAATGCATAACCTAGTGAGTGCTAAGCTTATATAATATTTTTAAGAGAATAAAAATGATATTGCAAGACAACCAATAAAAGAAAACAGAAAAAAAGATACAATAAAGGCTTGTTACAAAGTAAACCTTATATTTATCTTACTGTATTACTGTTTTCAGATTAAAACAGGCTCGGAATACTCTTTGTAATGAAGAAAGCAGAAAAAAGTATGATAAATGGCACAAATCTGGAATAGCTGTACCATATGAACAGTGGCTTGAGCTGAGTGGTGCAGTTCACACATCATTACATTGGGCAGCCAAACCAAGGAAGGAGCTCATGTTGGATTGGAAGAAAAGTAAGAAAAAATTGACAGTGTTAATACCTTGCGTTCCTTGTTAAATCTGACTTTCTCTTGCTGCTTATGTATTTTTTAGAGCAGAATTTCAATCAGTGGGATTTAAAAGTACTTTCAAAGCTAAGACAAGATTGGCCATAATTATGTTACCCTTTCATGCTACATGAAATAAGGCACATTTATATGCAACTCTAACTTTAAGATTGGTAGATGAAATCCTATGGTCTTACCATTCAAATGAAACCTCTTCAGCAGTACTTTCATGTGATACTATAAAAACTAACTTTTGACTCTGTGGATGAAATCCTATGATGTTACCATTCAAATGAAACCTCTTCAGTAGTACTTTCACACGGTACTATTTATTTAGTATGTAGTTCTAACTTTTGAGTCTGTGGATGAAATTCTATGGTGTTACCATTCAAATGAAACCTCTTTGGCATTACTTTGCATAGTACTGTCTATTTTTAGGGATTTTAGAAAAAAAAACCTTAAATTTTTTTCTGAATTTTATCTTTGGTTACTTGCTGAAATTCTCAGTAAATTCAAAGTCATTTTAAATGTGATTTTCAGGTGAAGAAAAAAATCTGAATGAATGTTTAAATGAAGAAGAAAATGCAAAACATCGCCGTCTTCAGTCTCCATGTGTTTCCATTCAACATTGTGCCAGGCCACCGAGGAGGTGTGGGTGGAGCTTGATGCGGAGTACACACATCAGCAAGTTTAGGAAATATGAGATTTGAAAAGGAAATTGGCTTCAGAGGAAACCTTTAAGCTCACACTGTTCAGAACTGTTGGTCCTTGTCCTAACAACTGTACACCATCGCTGTGGCTTAAGTGTATTGCCAGACAATGGCACAATATTGGCAGGATAGATAAACATACTTTGTTCGTTTTCGTTCGTCTAACAACAGCTTTCTTACAGTAGCATATTAAAAACTGTGTACACCAGAAATGTTTTCAACTGTTGTTGTGTTGCCAGAAAAAGCCATTATTAGCTTGAGCAGGCAGTTGACAGCATCAACAAGCTGCCAACTATAATTCAACTTAACACCAATCAACAAATATATTTTTTTGTACATATTATTTTGATAATCAGATTGTACAGATGCATATATTGCCACAATTAAAATAAACTACATTTACCCACTTGTTTTATACTGAACTAACTTGCAAAACCCTCTGTGACTCAAATTTTCATATGTTTTAAAATATCTTATCTTACCGACTTTCGTTACTTTTAGGGAACCCTCTCTCTAAAGAGGAAACGAAGTAAGCATGCAAGCAAAATGAAGAGTTTAACACGACAAAAAAATAATGTCGTATGTTCGACAACAAAGAATGAGTAAAGTGCAATTTATACTGGTCATTTCTGAAAACATCTTTTAGCCACGAACCATGAATTTCGCAGTCGGGACATTTCTCTGTAATTTGTTGGATTTTAGTCAATTTACCGTAGATTCAAGTGAGAATAACACAGAAAATAACTAAAAAAGATTCAAGTCATTTTCTTGTTTTACATTCTACATTTGGGGAGTACATTTGTCATGTGGTTTCATAAACTCATCATTTTGCTTGTACATTCAGCAAGTTTTTTCGTCTATGGAGTGACAATCCCGTAAAAGTAATGAAAGCCATCTTACCTAGTGAGCAAACCTCTCTTGGGTCAGCCTCTTGAATCAGACAAAACAGTACTAAACTCTGGTTGAGTCTGTCTGCGAAGCAACACAGAAATCCTTGCTCTGGGCCTCCACCTGTCGACCATGATTTGAGTATGCGTCGTGATTGGAAAAGGATTTTGGCGCTGCTTCACAGATGTTACTAACCGTATTAAATTATGTCTGCAAGGTAGGCTACACCGCCCTGTGAGTGTATGAAACTGTACAACAGTCTGTGCCTAATGGCAAACAAGTGCATGAGTAAATTATTATTGTAGCTAATACTTCATGAATTTAGGAAGGGGTGTTTTTCCTTGGAAAAAATCACTGGTTTCAGATGGTTATATTACATTCAGAAGAGAGAATTGAATCTCTACAAAACTCAAATTTTCCTGAATTCAGTGTCTGCAATAATGGCATGTTTAACCAGTTTTTCCAGCAAAACCCGATAACTAAAACCATTTTCCTTATCACAAACTGTACTATTATGAAATATAATCCATACTAAAGGCAATAGAGGCTTTGTTCAATGCCTCTCTGATTGTCAACATGGAAAGTATCTCAACACCAATTTCCAGTAACCCAGCGTCCTCACACATGTTGACAACCTCTAGCCACCTATCCGTGTTCATGTTGTCGCTCTTTGTTTCGTTAAACAAAGCATCCTTCATAACCGCTGACAAATCATGACTGTTAGTTTGCGAAAGATGCTTAAGCACATTCAAGAGCATCTTATGTTGATTGTCACCCAAAAAAGCCCCGACAACTGCTGCAAAGTTAAGAATGCCGATCTTCCTGCTCGAGCTTGGAGTACTAAGCATAAGTTTTGCCAGCTCAGGGGAAGGATTTTCTAACAAAACAGCTCGATAGTCCTCTGTTGTAAACTTTGCATGTTCCTTTGCATAATTCAACATGATTGAGAATTTCTCCTGTCCACAAAGGCAAGCTACCACTCGATGATGAGCACCAACTTTAGTGTAAACAGTTTGAGCAAGGGGAAGACAAGTGCAGGTACAGTGCGCTGTGCATTTACAATAATCACGAAATGCATCCCCAAGAGGGATGGAATATGTCAGTTTCTCTTGAGCTAGCCAATGGGTAGCTAAATCAAGACGTTCTTCTCGAAGAGCGCAGCGAATACACTCAGAAGACATTGCTCCTGTCAGAGGTTGTGCTGCCGATGCTGTTGCCATAAGAGCATCACAGAAAATCAACAAAGGAGACTGTTTACCATCTACAGACTCAGCCTGCTTAAACTTGATCATAGTTTCATAAGTTCGGAGAATTCCCATGGGAGAGTTAGCAGCATGCATTGCCGCCAGTTCAAACTGACCAAAATCGAACAGATCATTAAAGTGATCCACATATTCAATTAACCGTTCTGCCTCTTTCTTCTTTAAGGGATCATCCTCGTCAAAACTGACAAAGAACTGTAGTGCATCACTCTTCTTGCCATACTTGCTTTTGCCATAGTTTGCCAGTTCTCGGAATATGACATCTACAATGTGTAGGTCTTGGTCTGGATTATCAACCACTGACTTTGCTGCCTGTTTGTGAATAGCAAAATCAGACAAAAAAATCAGATTTAATGATTTAGTCCTACTGTATGCATCAGTAACTTTACAATGGAATTACTGACAGATCTGTTGATGTCTGTGATTTGAATTCTTATGTCAAATTCTCCAAACTATTTGACATTCAAGAAAACACAAGGCAGTCTATTACAAGTAACTTAAGAGTTTTATTCCTCTTTCCAGGCAATCACCTTTATATTACTAGTTATGGTACCTTCTTTGGCCTTTTGCCTGAAATCAGAATTTCTTGGTCTGGTATTTAGGGTAGGCTTTTCACAGCAAAGTAAAATGCCCACCCCCACTGAAAAAATATTTACCAAGAAACCCCTGAAATTCTGCAAATAATGGAATCTGGAATCCAAGTTCCACTGACTAGGAATCCGGATCCAGTACTTGAAATCTAGAATCCACAGGCTGGAATCCAGAATCCAATACTATCTTTGATTACCTTACATGCCAGGGTGACAGATTGGTTAGTGTGGACCTTAACCCTTTAAGCGCTAAGAGTGATCAGCATCAAATTTCTCCTTATAATGTCGATGCTTTGTAAAACAGAGTGGTCATGAGAATTACACGGACATGATCACACAAGATGAATTTGCTTGATATTTTATCAATTTCTCCCCACTACTTCTGCAGGAAATGAATAGGGGCAACAAATGAGAATTCAAATTTTAATCTTAGGGTTTAAAGGGTTAACACAAATAATATTTTGCTTACCTCAACAGCTACCTTCAGAGTCCCACATCTTTCTTGTAGTTGCTCATGATAGGTGAACACTTCTCCTCGAGCATTTTCCTTTTTCACTAGCTGTTGCTTTAAGACCTGTTTCTGCCCTTTGTCTACAAACTTTGTTTTGGTCGCTTCTTTGAGTTCCTTAACTTGAGCTTCTAATCTAATGAGTGTCTTCCTTAAAGTTGTTAAATCAGTTAGGTCCTGAAGTGATAGTCCAGGAATTAAGAGACGCATCTCTTTCGCTACTGAATGCATCGATTTACTCTCTGCTGAAGCCAACCTCCTTGCCCTCTCTGCTCTAAGGGCATGAAGCTTTAGCCTAAGCTTTTTGTTGTGTTCTTGGAGCTTTTCAACTTTATCTTCTAACTCATCTCCTCTTAAAGCGAAGTTTCGTACGTTTGCTTTCTCTGACAGCAGAGCTTTTAACATTCCCTGTAGATAGATAGTTTGACTTTGACCTCTTTCTAATGTCTCAATAAATTGTTCATATTCTGCTTTTATCTCTGACAAAAGAGACTTATAGACAACAGCTTTGCTCTCGATGAGTTGATCAAAGGCATGTTTGTGCACCATAAAACGGTCTTGCTTGCTATATTCCGGCCGTAACGTAACCGTTTGCAGCTCATTAGTTAAACTTCTCTCTATTTCTTTAAGATCAGCGCCAGGTAAGCCCTTGGAAAAAGCCGTTTTCTTTTCCCTAAAATCTCTTGCGCTTAAAGGAGATTTTGTGCTGACATGTGATTTAGAGGAGCGGGGTGAATGGACTGAAATTGGACTGGCAGATCTTCTGGCCTGCATGATTAGCAACCGGGATCCGTCTCGGAAACCAAGTGCTTTTCAAAAACGACTTTTGACAGCTTCAAAAGGCAAAGTGTAAGTCAAAAAACTCCGCCATGTTTGCCTTCCACCACGGTTGCCACAGCTGGAATGTTAGTCGTCAAGCGAAAATAAAAGAATCAATTTGATTGGATATAAAAGAAAAATTGGCCAATCAGAATGCATCTTATAGTTCTAATGCAAATATATTCTCATCTCATTTCATACACGTTTGAAGTAGAAACATGGCGGACTCTTCATCCTTTCCTCAGTTATCTTCACACGCCACTGAAGAAGAAAAAAACCTTTCTTTGAAGGAGAAGATAAACTTAATCGACAATGAGATTCGCCAGTTGTACGACTTTTGTCTCAAAGCTGGCTATACACAGCCTCAAATTGAGGAATGTGCTCAACCCTTGCTAGCCATACAGAGCAGAGAAAAGCGCATCAAATGGTTTTGGTGGCTGTGTTCTTTCGCTATGTTCGTAGGATTTGTTGCCTTTTTGTTCGCCTATGATCCCACCTACCGCCAAATCTGTATTTATGGCAAGTTTGTGGCCATGAAGGTAAACAAAATACTATTTTAAATACAGAAGTTATTATAGTTCTTTTTGCTACTGGCACATCTCCCATAATGCACCTTACTAGCCCCCAAAACTTTGCACCCGTATTTATTCGAATAAGCGCCCAACCATCACAAGGGCATGTGTAAATATAGCAGCTCATTAGGCCTCATATAGGGCAAGCATGTGCGCTATGTTATAAGATTTCTTTTTCATTTCCAGTTTTACGTAAAAAATAACTGTCTGGCCATGTCCACATTCATCCATAAAATAAGTATTGGGACTGAGTCAGTAATATTATTGTGTACATATGGATGCAGTTTAGAAGGGGCCAAGGAGGTGATGTTTGTGGAGGGCCGGGGGATAGTTGCAATGGAAAAAGTCTCCATATTTTACACTGTAGATCTACAAATATTTAAAACAGGTTTTAGAAAAGCAGCGCATGGCCGCCAATAGTAATGTGCAATCTTCCAAAAAGCCTTGGGGACTAAAAGTTGAGGGTTAATTGCCTGCTATATACAACTACCATACAAAAGAGCTGTAGTATTGCAAAGTAAGGAGTTAAAGTAATGATAATTAACAGTTATTACCTTTTTTCTCCTTTTTGTCTACTAACTTAGTGAAGTTTCAGTTCTGAAGAGGAAAATTCTGAGTGGTTGAAGAATATAAGATCAATCCACACTGAAGTCATCATTTTGATGTTCTTGTTGTTAGGTGACTCTAGACTCACTCAGAGTACTTAGTATTCTGTTTTTTTTGTCCTTAATTTTTAGGCTCTTCCTTATTGGGATTGGACTGTTATTTATGACAGGGAATGTCTCATTGACAATCCCTACAAGGTTCAAGACGGACTGACTGAAGAAGATTGCAGTGCTTGTCAACACCTTAAAGGAGTAAAGAGAATTGCTAACGCTAGTCAGAGTGAAATAGCGGAAAGCTTTCTCTTCAACCAAATACCTGTTGTCGTCACTGATGCCGTTGAAGGATGGGATGCCTTGGAAAAGTTTGATCTCAATTACTTGGCAGAGGTACCTAGGGCTATTCCATTTAATAACCAACCGCTCCCCATGGGTGACAGTTTCTGGGGGGGTGTGCAATTTATTTTCAAGGGGGGTGGCTGTGTCGATGCCCTTGATCTTTAGAATATTTCTGAGGGGTATAAGAAAAAATTATTTTCTTTTTTTCGGAAGGGGGGGATGGTCTATATCTGATGTGGGGACTGTATTGTTGTTTTTAATCTTTTTTTTTTCTTAAAGGGTAATGTAGTGATTAACAAGCCTTATTTTTTCCCAGTTGTATGAGAAAAATGAAGTGTTAGCAGATCGTTCTGGTGGATGTCAATTTCAGAGCACAGTCCTGGAGTATGAGGACCCCCATCAACTGCTGTCAGCCTATAAGAGTGGGGAGCTGACAAAATTCCAAGCATTTTGGTACGTCATAGGGAATGAAAAGCAATAAAAAATCTCAACCACTACGGGTGTAGAACTGTAGAAAGCCTGTTGAGATGAAAATGGAAGCCTGGGCAGTGACATGAAAGAAAACTAAACATAAAGATAACCTTGGCAATTCTATAAGTTGGAACCCCTAGCTAGCAGTGGGGGGGAGGGGAGGGAGACGGGGGGTGTAAACCTTCCACCTCCCATACCTTGCATTCTCAGCTCCCGCTCATTTTTTGGCCCTTTTATTTTGAAGTAGTAAGTATCCTTGTGAATTTTCCCCCTATTTCTCCTGCTCCACACCCTTTTAAAACTCCCCCCTCTCGTCTTTTCCTCTCCAACTGCCCATACTCCTCCAGCCCCTTGACTCCAACTTTTTTTTGTTAAATATGTGTGCTCCTACTTCATATTTTAACAGGGAAAACTGTGATAAAGATGCTGCCAAAGTGTTACGTAAATATTACAAGCGCCCCTATTTTCTTCCACCCATGGCAGAGGCAGTAGAAGGAAACTGGTTTATAGTCTCCTCAGCTCAAAACATGACACTGCATGTGAGCTCATTGTTTTGCAAATTACCATTGTTTTAATTAGCATATTCATTAACTATAAAAATTAATAGAGGCAGCATGGCCAAGTGGTCAGCGTGTTGGACTCGCAATCCGGTGATCCCGGGTTTTTGTCCAGCTCTGGTCACTTGCTGGATTTGTTCTCGGTCGTCCTGAATTCAAAGTCCTCGGCCACTCTTGTAAATAGCTAACTACAACCCTGGTCAAAACTCTTGGGACACTAACACATTAGCTTGGCAAATTGAGGCATCTTCCCTCCCCCCTTCCCCCTCAGTGCAGTGTTGACGTTATGTATTCAAGTTTTAATTCAACACAATCAACACTGCGTGGGGGAGAGGGAGACAGCAGAAATAGCCCCTTATAACAACATCCCCAAGCTTTTTTAAGAGGTAGAATATGAGTTAATTTAGTAAATTTCCTCAGGTGTCCCAAGACGTTTTGACCAGTGTTGTAGTTACCTAATCCTGTTATGTGGTATATGAATTATTTGAATTTAAGTATTTGAGTGGATTACCTGTTAACTAAGTGCACTTTCCACTATAAACAAGCCTTTCAATATGACAATAATATAACTAGTTTTCTTCAGTAATTTGTTGAGTGACACCTGACTGAAACCCAAGGCTGTGCTCTGAGAAAAATTGTGGGGAGCCCAGTGCTCTGAACCTGTAAAATTTAGGGTGCCCAGCGGTATGAAAAGAGAACACAGAAAAAACTACTATTTCCTAGTCACTCAGGGGCAAAAGTAAGGCATCAGGGACCTCTGGTCGCTGCTTAAATTGTAGCCCTGGAAAGAAATGCCCCATTTACACTAAAGGTGAATCATGTTTAAATGCTGCTTAGTTAAATGTGGTTTAAATTTGTTTTCTTTATAAAAGCTGCCAAATGTACTTTTTTTGATTGGAAATTTAGTGCAATTTTATTGCTTGATGTGTTTAAGTTCATTTGAATTCTTTGTGCTGTTGTTGTTGTTTTTTTGTTTCACTTTTTACAAGCTACATGTAGTTCAATTAACCCTTTCACTGCCAAATGTAGCCAAAGGCAAATTTCGACCAAAATTTTGACAAACAAATAGCACCATATGAAAGTACTGATGAAGAGCTTTCATTTGAATGGTCACATCATAGGATTTCGTCTGCAGACTCAAAAGTTAAAGTCACCTTACAAAACTCCATCAAACACTCTGGCAGTGAAGGGGTTAAACAGGTTAAGTTGGTGTGAGTGGGGCATAATACCAGCTGATTAAAAGTTGTGTTTTGTTTAGGATATCTTTAGATTTATCTCTTTTACATGTTTAATTTCTAAAGAATAATATTTAAAAGAACGCTTCTTGTAATTTAGTGAATTATTTCCCTTATTACATCCTATTGGTCATTACATGATTCTTTTTTCTCTACTCAGGTTCACTGGGAAAGTACAGCCACCTGGATAGCCCAGGTATTTAAAAATAGTTTTCTCCTTACAGTCATGAATACGATGTATGTTTGTATACATGGCAAGGGAATTGAAAGGGTTAGCTCAGTTCTTTATAGAGTTGGTTTCAGTTCCTCAAAAGGTAGTTAAGTTAAAGGCATAATTACACCAATAAGCAAGATCAGTAAGATTTCCTTGCCTAAGAACATGCAACCACAGCCTAAAAAGTACTGTTGGGCCTTGACTCTGAGATACAGTAATAATAACACAAAATGTTACTCTAACGAATACACAGGAAGGTAAAATACAAAGAAAGAGAACAAAATTATAATCCTAGAATAAACTGAAAACTGTGCCCCAAACTAAACTTTTTTTGAAAGTTTTCTTTTGGTGACCTTAAATTATAAAATGGTTACCAGACTTATCATACTGGTGGCCAGAAAAAAGGACAATGGGTTGTTACAGAAAAAATCCACACCCCCCCGACGGATGGGATTCTGGAAATTCTCGCGGGAGGGGGGGTCGAAGACTCCGGAAATCCAGGCGGGAGGGGGGGTTGACCTTAAAAAAGTCTTCTGCAGGGGTCATTTCGACCGATAGTTGATACAAATCAAACGTTTAGTTCGATGACACTTAAGCGCTTTCAGACCCTGAAAATAGTCAAAATGTTTTGTTCATATATTTCTCACCTGACATAAATGATAATCTAAGTTGCTTTACAGGTCCTTTTATAGCAGAAAACGCGAACAAGATACTAAAGAACGGGCCTGAAGGAACTCGTCGCAACGTTGTTGTCACGAAGAGCGTCAAACGCCTGACACATTTCTACTGCACCCAGAGCCCAAGCGCCAAGAGCGAAGAGTGATTTTTATAAGCTAAGAAATTATGTAAACACTGCTCAGGTGTCGTTCGCATTTTTGTTTTTTGCTGCTTTCGTTTTTAGTTCCACGCGATAGAATTCTTAGTTTAATATAAGCTGAAGCTTTAGAAATTAAAACAAAAACATTTAGACGTGTTTGCGTGTATTTTTCATTAAAAATAAATTAAATTTAAGCCTTTTATTTTTTCCCGGAAATCCAGGCGGGAGGGGGGGTCTTCCACCTTGGAAATCCAGTTGGGAGGGGGGGTCTTGTGCTTCAGGAAATCCAGGTGAGAGGGGGGGTTAAAAAAGGACCCCATCCGTCGGGGGGGTGTGGATTTTTTCTGGAATAACCCAATACATAAGATTACTCAACGGTTTTCTGTTGTTAGGGTTGTGAAACCAAATGATTTTTTTCTCTGCATTAACTTTCAATTAGATCAAAGGGACTGGTAGGTTCATATTAACACCAGATGAGATTTGCAAGAATTTGTGCCACAAGGTTGCTGTCAACCTAGATCCTGGAGAAGTTTGTAAGTTGAAATAATTTTGAATGCTATTATAACCTTATTTATCCTTGTCCTTAATTTACTTATATTGTCTTTGGCAGCAGAGATAGTCTAGCTGTAAATCACTGATCGTCCTTTCTCTGCTCAAGTGTTGCCCAAAATTATGATATTTTTTCTTACTCCAATGATTTTTCTTTGCAATTTAGCTTTTTCAGTTCTCCTTCCTCTTCAAAACCTATTGTTTAAAAATTTATTTACTGTTATACTGGAGTCAAATCGCCCTGAGTCTGTAGTCATAAAATTGTCCCAGGGAGGGGAGAGGAGGGTAGGGGTACTCCCTATAAAGGCCTGTACAGCTCTGTCCGAAAGAGGTGCCTTTCTCTGATGTCAAGTACAAAAGCTATTATAATGGTTGAGCTTGCAATTAAGGCACACAAATGAGGCCCAACACAGTGCCGTATCAGTGCTCCTAGCTCACTTTTTTTGAAAGTCATCTTTTGGTGACCTAACATTATAAACTGGTCACCAGACAGAAAATATTCACAGCTCGCATAAAGTTTTCTTGTCATACATACCATTCTACGGAGATGTAAACTAAAGCCACTGCAAAGCCTATAATCGATTTATCTCGGAACATAATACATATGACTTACGTTTATGACTTATGACTTATGAGAGTTTGTGCGCATGTGATCAGAAGTAAACAAGGGCACATACTGCGTTTACCGAAAAAGTTAATAAGCGCCCAGCCTCGAATAAGCGTCCACCATCAAGGTCCAAAAATTTAATCAGCGCCCAGGGCGGTTAATCGAATAAATACGGTAACAAAATTTTTTTCAAAGACATGATTCGTACAATCTTAAAAAGGTCTTGAAATTTACTAGTCGTCTTGAAAAGTCCTTGTATTCAGTTAAGGTCCTTGAAAAGTACTCGATTTATTTATTAGGTCTTGAAAAGTCCTTGAAGTTTACAACCTTCGGCTCATCTACGCCAGACACCTTTTTCTGTCAAACTAATTAGGTTATTTTGCCGAGGAAAGTTTGGCTCATCCTTGGTGTAAGAACCTGTAAAGCTCACAGAGTTCAGTTGTGCATGAACAATATTTTGTTTCTGGTTCTTTATTTCAAATGCTATTTTTGTACCTCAGATGCAATTGCATGTCATACCCAGTCATTTTGCAAAGTCTTGTTGTGGAAAGTAGTGTAAAATTATGTGATGAATGATGGTCGAAGAAGGAAAAATCGTAAATGAGTCCATGGCGTGTTTAAGCCAAGAGGGTGATCCAAGGGGGTTAAAGAATGCCGATTCATTGAATAAATCTTAGGCCTTGGACTCTGTAATTTGTCCTTGAAATATCCTTGAAACCACTTGAAGTTGTTTGTCTGCAATTTCCCTCCTAATTCTCTAAGGAAATATATGGAGATCAGTCTGAAGAATATTGGGGCTTGAAGAGTTAATTCCAATATCAACTGCTTTTTTGCAGTGACCGTGATGAACACTATGTGGAATGTACAGTACAGACCCGTTGGTAATGAGCCTGTCATCTCCTTTGGCTCAGGAGTAACTTGGGACTGATAATCAAATGACACTCAATAAAGCGTACAGCGTTAAATCAAGAATTATGTTTGTTATAGACGATTTGATCATTGTACGTTTCTGGAAAACTGCCCACCTACCCCTCCCCTAAGCCAACATTAACACTTACTTCCCACTTAGGGCAAAACTTTGGCTTAGGGGAGGGGTAGGTGGGCAGTTTCCCAGAAACTTATAATGATCCGTTTCTGGGAAACTGCCAACCTACCCCTCCCCTAACCCAACATAACACTTGATTCTCACTTAGGGCAAAATGTTGGCTTAGGGGAGGGGTAGGTGGGCAGTTTCCCAGAAACTTATAATGATCCGTTTCTGGGAAACTGCCCACCTACCCCTCCCCTAACCGGACGTAACACTTACTTCTCACTTGCGGCAAAATGTTGGCTTAGGGGACCCCAAATCATAGACTGCAAAATCATATTTTGGTTAAAACTACAGCATTATCCACGTAAACGTTAAGTCGATGTCAGCGTCTTTCGTTTGTGAAAACAATGGTTGGTAATCAAGCGTACTATTATATTATAACAAGCGTGGTCAACTGTCTCGTTAGTAGTTAGTGCCTATCTATGTAATAACATAGGATGACCCAACCCCTAAGGGTAGCTGAAAATTGCACGGCCCACCCCTTGAACAAGGCTCAAAAAACTTCATGACCCACCCCTCTCTGCTCCGGCCCACCCCCATACTTTTTGACCCAGCCAGCTGGAATTATTGCTAAAATACTCACAAACCTGTTGTGTGAGAAAATGCAGGGGGTGACAGGCCGCACATCCATACCGGCGTGAAACCTTTGTTAACCTTTTTTTGGCTCCAACGAGCATGCGCTTTAATGATTTTCCTTTCTTGTAAAGAAATGAGAGGTGGTTCTTTAAAAACTTATTAAAGTTATGGTTTGTTTTGTATAAGATTCCACTTTTTCATTCCACTTCCTATATAGTAGACACTGAGGGTTGGTATTGTGTCACGAATGGCGATATTTCTATTTCCTCCTTATTGTTTGGCGTTTAAACTCCCTATTCTGTGAAATTTATTTCTGATAGTAGGTTCCTTTCAAAGTTTGTGGGTAGCCTCTCTCCATCAAGCATCTTTTTGAAATTTGAATTATTTTCCTCAAAGGTTGTTTCTGAGGAGTTTTTTCGTAAGATTCTCAAGGCTTCTCCTTTGACAAATCCTTTTTTAACTTTTGGAGGGTGACACGAGGTGAAATGTGTGTGCAAGAAGGTTTCCGTTTGTTTGAAATGTGTCTTTGCATCAAGGATAGATTTTTCCTTGAATCTTGTGCTTTTGTATACAACCGTGTCTAAAAACGCAGTCTCAGTGACAGATGTTTCGGCCGTGAATTTAATAGTTGTGTAATGTATGTTTGCTTGTTCAATGAAGGCTTCGATGTTGTCCCATAGGGAAAAGATATCGTCAATGTAGCATTTCCAAACTGTTGGTCTAAAGACGGTTTTGCTTAGAGTTGTTGTTTCAATATATGCCATGAAAATGGTGGCAAAGGAATCGAAGCAGTTGTCTTCGTGCCCATTGCAGTTCCATGGTTTTGTAGGTAATGCTTTCCACTGAAGTGGAAGAAATTTTCTTTGAGGATTAATCTAAGCATTTCCGGCAAGTAATGTGTAGGAGTAGGTTGTCTTACCCTGGCTCCAGAGGTCCGTTCTCAAAATACCTAATATGAAATAAACCGTGCTTACGGTTGACGCGACGACGCCGCGAACCATCAGTATCGATAAGAAAAAAATATCCCCTGGAACCCAGGGTAAAGTTGTCTTTGTAGCAATTTTCATATGCTTTGTGACAGACAATTTCAATATACCCTCGTTTTGCGGTATATTTGTGTCAAGACTCGTAACGTCCATCCGAAACAAGAAATGTTCGGTTTTTCACATTTGTCTTTTCAATGAAAGGTATGATTTCTGTGATTTTGATACTGGTTGTTTATCAATTGAACAAATTATGTAAAGCACAGAACCTGACGGTTTTATCGGATTATTAAGAGGAAACCAAACATCCATGTTTTAATACTAGGGAGTGGGTCATGCAATTTCCAACCTTGCTTGAGGGGTGGGTTAGTCATTTTTGTGCCGAAGGGAGGGGGTAGGCCATGTGTTTTTTTTATCAACCACATTTCCAAATGCTCCCCCCCCCCATACTTTTTGTCCAGTCCTTTACACACATGTATTGCTATGCATGTTTATAAAATATCGCTTATCTCATTATTATCATCAAATATCGATTATCTCATCAATAAAGCGGTGACAGAAAGAGATTTCTATTACCACTTGGGTAATATTCTCTTTTTTAGAGAGTCCAGTTCGTTTAGAAGAATATTGTGATCAATAATATCGAAACCCCTCGTAAAGTCAGCATAGAAAATCCGTACAGAGCAATTTCCTGAGTCCACTGCTTCGTGAATTGCTTGCTTGAGGTAAATCAGCAAGTGGGTAGTAGAATGGCCATGGCGGGCATATTGTCTTGGGTCCATATCACTGCTTAACTGCTCCAATAACCTTCAGTGGGTAAACCCCTCAATTACCTTTTGCTAAGCAACTGGTTAATGTGATAGGCGTAACAATAGACTGCCTTTAAAGGGTTGGGAACAAATCCTTCTCTCAGCGACTAAGATAGTAGCCAACGTAGCTGGCGGGATTAGCGGGATTGCTGTAGTTTTTCCGCCGCCAAGAATAGACCTTATTCACAATACCCGCCATCTTTGCACGCGCTAAAGGACTGATGGGAAAAAGCAATGTCACGTGGTTTCTCAGAGGGCAAACAAATGATAAAAGCTGCCCGTGCAAGAAATCGCGGTCGAGTTTGTTTACTCTAGACAACAGAAAATAAAGAACTTTTCATTATAAAGACGATAATCACAAATTATGGGTAGAAGTATACATCGTTACTTTTTTGGATGCTGTAGCAACCGTAGATGTCCTCACAGCAAACAATAATGACGTTAATCTTGTCGAAACTCGAAATGTAACTTTTGCTAGTCTATTAAATCGTCGTCTTGTTTTGATAGCATAAACAAACTCGACCGCGATTTCTTGCATTGGCAGCTTTTATCATTATTTTGTTTGCCCCTTGCAAAATCACGTGACATTGCTTTTTTCCCATCAGTCCTTTAGCGCGTGCAAAGATGGCGGGTATCGTGAATGAGGTCTATTAAGAAAGTACCCCGAGCACAAGAATCCCGCCAGCTACGCAGGCTAACAGGATAGAAATGCAGAGACCCGTGAAAACATGAGGGGCTGGGGAGAGAGAAGACATTTTTTTTACCGCCACCGTCCCATTCCCCAGATCGCGTGCGTCGTATGTTTCTTTTTTTTATCAGGCTACCTATTTCACGGAATATATAATGATTTTATTTACAGTATCAGGAGCCGTACTTGTTATTTTACAGTATTTTTTTTTAATTTTTTACAGCATTTATTATTTTATTTACAGTATTTATGGGAGTAGACACATGACTGTCCTCCGAAAAGGTCCCTCCAGTGATTTTCTCATCAAACCATTTCTCTAATATATCTAGAAGAGAACATATCGTCTACAAAGACGTGTTCACTGAACTGAGATTTTTGATTTTCAAGGTAGGTATAAAACACGTCCGTGTATACAAAAAGGGACTGGCTTGAGTGAACAAAAAGCAAACAGTTCCGTGCTGGTTTTTCTTAATGTGCTGGTTGAATGATTTGCATCTCTATTGCTTCTTGTGGCTGATTGTTTTCTCGATTTCTTAAATGGAGAATTTCCAAAAATGCTTGGCGAAATTTCTTCATGCGCCAACAGTAAATAACGGGATTGCACAGGGAACTCAACATTATAAACGTTGCCACCCAGCTCGCCAAGCAGTTTAAAACAGGCCGTCCTAGATTCACAGAATAATACATTATACTGGATACTATCATTGGCAGGTATGTTACAATTAACGTAATAAGGATGATTCCAAGGGTTTTGGCCCCTCGGTTGTTTCTTCTGATTGTTGCAATTTCTTCTACGCTTAAATGCTCAGTCTGAGCTCTTTGTTGGCGCCGGACGTCCAAGAAAATGTACGAGTAAATTGCTACAATAACAATTATAGAAATCAAACCTAAAATGTTGAGCGTTACGACCGTTAGGTTCCAATAAACACTATAAATGTTTGTGTCACTGTTTATTGCAGCAAGGATGCTATCTTGAATTGCCACAAATATCGTTGAAGCCCACGCTAAAAGCACAGCGACTGTTACCCGTCTTGTTGTGACAATCTCTCGATACCTTAACGGTTTTTTAATAGCAATGTACCTATCAACAGTTATTAGTAGAAGATGAGACAAGGTCGCGAAGATATGCCAACCTAAGGATAACATGCTTACTCTTTCCAAAGCTCCACAAAATATGCCAGTTTTCCGTAGTCGCTGCACTTCTACTGCTATTCGTATCGGCTGTCCAAGCAGCCCTGTTAAAAGATCCGCCTCGGCCAGGCACGCCAGAAGGATTGTCGCTTTATTTCGCAACTGCCCTCTTGTTGCCACAGCAAAGATCACCAGAGCATTCAACAACACAGTTCGTAAAACTGAGATGGAATTAATGCTGACTATAGCAACCAGATGGTTGTAGATACCTTCTGTCAGCAGGAACTCATCTCGCCATGCCACTTCTTCCAAATAAGGACATTCCTCTGATTCATAAAATCCGTTGGACGTAGAATTATTCGCCATGTTATGTAGTGGTGCTTGGTACAGAGACTCAGGAAAAGACGCGACGCAGACAAACTCAAGCCAGTTTTGAATCACTATTTTCCATCCTTTTCATTTCAAAATGCTTCCTCTTCAGTACTACAAAAGAAGGCTTAAATTTCATTGGTTGGTTACGTACTTAAATAATTTCCATTTTTGAAAGGGCCACTAAGCTGCTAGCGCGTCCAGAAGGCTGAGTATCATCTAACGAATGTTTTTTAGCGTTATTTATTGTTTAATCAGTCAGAGAGATTAATTCATTAAAGACTGCTTATTATAAGCTAATGAATGGTTATTTTTAGTAAAAAGGTGTTTGTTTTAAGTTCGATGTGTAATTCCTTCCGTCTCCAAGAAGAGTGCACCTTATTTTGCTAAGCAACGCTTAGTTGTCTCCTAATTAAAAAGTGCAATTTTCTTTGATCGAAGTGCCAACAGCTCATAGGAAATGACGCTTTCTAAAGACGAAACAGATGCAGATCTATCCCCATTTTCAAAAATTCACGGAAATGTATCTCACCTTATACCGTGGGTTTGTACGGCGTCGGCAAATTAAATTGCCATTTTTTTTGCTAGTTTTGTTTCGTTAAGCCTTGACCTGCATGGTGAAATTGTACAAAATATACACTCCAAGTTTACTGTATCAGCCCCTTGTTCGGACTTTTTGCCAAAAGGAAGAAGAGGTAGTTTGTTTCACTATCTCGAAGGTCATGTTAGGCCCCGTTCAGACGCCGAACTTTTCATGAGCCGAACTTAATAATTCGAATGAAGGCGGACCCAAATTCAGACCGGATGAATTGATTCAGACGCCGTTCTTAATTACAGATGAACTAAGTTCAAAAGGCGAAAAATGCTCATTTCGGTCAAACTGCTTATAAAATAGGTTATAATAATTTATGCATATGGTTCGGTACATGAAAAGTTCGGCGTCTGAATCAAAGCACTACCAAAGTCGCACCAAAGGCGAAATTCGCGGCTGGGCTAGGCGAAAAGAACGGCTGAGCCGTTCCAAATTGAAACAGGTGTTCCTAATTGATTCAGACGCCGAACTTTTCATGAACTTAATTCGATGTATTAAATTCGGCTCATGAAAAGTTCGGCGTCTGAACCGGGACTTAAGACGCACTAACATTAGAGACACTTAGAAAAGCGGACTGCAAACGGCCAACGTCAACTTCTACCACATGACCAGATTTTCCAACTTCCTCTCAAGGGCTTTACTGTTCATTATCTCTACAAAAAAAAAAAAATATCAGGAAGCCAGGCAGCTGGCCTAGAAAGTCTCACGCGGGAGTCAAGTTGAAACCTAATGAAAAGAGGAGCTGCGCACTACAACCGACTCGCTCTTATCCTTACTCCTACCTTTTCAGGATGCGCCCCACCCCTCCCTCCCACCGCCCAGCCTAGTCAGCTCGAGTGGTCAATAGAAAATCAAAACGACTGGCAACAACGATTTTGAGCGTATCACAGCGTCGTAGTGTTGGAACAGTGTTGCAGCCATTCCAAACAATATCGCAATATAGTTGCGATGCTATGTCACGCTAAAAGTCGTCGTTGCGAATCGTCTTGTGTCACATCACCGTTAGACAGCCCGGCATCATGTGTGCAAAACGAACATTACTGCTTGAAATAATTTTGATATATGCTCTCGCAGAACCCGACTTATGTCATTATAAAATTCGTTTTCAGATCACAAAATAAAATTCAACCTTTGTTATAAAATTCAATTCGATTTTTACAATTTTTGATGTTTTTGTCTGCTATTTTAAGAGTGAGTCCTTATGCCTCTTGTTGAGTCTTAATGTCGATGGTACGTTTTTATCTTGAGGGAAATAGGGAGCTTAAGCAACAACGTTTTTGAGCGACGCACGTCAACCGGAAGTGGCCTTTTTTCATTTTTTGACGGTGGTTTCGCGCAAATTTTCAGTCAAATCGCCTCTATAACAGTAAAGAAGCTAAGGAATACAAATTTTATATCATCAAGGCATGTTAAGAGGGAAAATACCTCACTTCCGGTTGACGTGCGGCGCTCAAAAACGTCGCTGCTTAAGCTCCCTGTTATTAAAGAACAAAATATTCAGTGGCGGATCCAGGGGAGGGGCCCAAGGGGCTCGGGCTCTCCGCTCCCCCCCTCTTATCTCAGGGTCTGGATGATCCCCCCTTTATCTGAGAGTCTGGATCCGTCCCTGATATTTCCACTTTTCTAGACTGCCTGGCAGCTGGTCAAAAAGGAGAATATTTTTCACCTTTTCAGAAAGCGTAAAAAGTGGGCGAAACGAGCATTGTCACTTGAATTTCCTTAGGTACTTTCGTCATTCAACAACCTGTTCCTGAGTTGAAAAAATACAATTCAGACATTTGGAAATTAAACTCAATTTGATTTTTGCTTTTTTTTGACCCAGGTAAAGGATGAATCTTCTCTTTGGATCTCTCCGTTGCGGTATCTTTTACTTTTAATTGTACTTCATTAGAACTCCCCCATTAACTGCTAAATTAACCCATTCGCTCCTGGAGATTTTGCCGAAAAACGCGTTTCGAAGCTAGTCGAGTGGTTTTCTGGTCACTGTCGTGCTATAAAGAGTACAGGTCGTACACTTCGCGGCCTTCTGATCCAGACGCAAAATATCAGCTTGCGAAGTTCGGGCATGCGCAGAAAGCAAAAGTGACACAGCAGTCTTGACTTTTACTTTTCGCTTTCTCTCCTCCCTTCTTTTTTCGCTTTTCTTGCCTCATTTTTTTTTTATCTTGCTGGGCATTTAGTAGGCTTCATTTTGGTGGGAAGAGTTTTTAGGAAAGCTTTTAGGATCTTAGGATTAGGTGAAAGGAAAGGTAGGTGGGTAATGGAGCAAGATTTTCATGGAGATTTTCAAGTCAATGTCACGTGGTTTTTTGCTTCTTTCTCCGGTGTCCTTGACTGAATTGTGCTCATTCTGGTATGGTTTGAAAGATCTCTTCATTCTGCACAAGTTAGTGAAGAAAGTGGTCCTTGACCGTTAAAACTGATGACGTCACAAAGGGTAGAAAGGACCTGGATCCGCACAGGCGGTTACGGGCGGTTCAGGGGCGAATGGGTTAAAGTATTATTTCATATATATATATATTTGTCACTATAGTATACATGACCCACTAAACCAAAGGATAAAGACTTTTTCGTCTACTTTAAACTAAAGATCTTCTATTTTCTTTCTACCCCTACTTCGGTTCCGAGAATAATTTTTAGAAACCAAACGGGGCGCCGGTTAACGTTTTGTGTCTTTTCTACCTTACGCTTTAAAAATTGACGATTAAATTAGCGCACATTCTTTGACAACTCGCCCAGGAGAAGAAGATCGAAGTAGCAATTTTATTTTCATTTATTGATCGGACAGTTACTTAGATTCACAGTAAAATAATGATGAATAGGGAAAAAATTGTAACGTGGTTGTCTCTTAACAGATGTGTTTACTTCTCAGCCTTACTAACAGGTTGAAGTTTTATAATAAGAACTAGATTGTGTTTTCGAAAAGTTGTATTTAGAAGAAAACTCTTCGTCTACAAAGCGTCAGAGTTCACTGAATTGAGTTGTTGATTGACCGATGGAATAATCATAGTCTGCGCCGGTATACAATTAAAGAAGTGACTTGGGCGAACAAAAAAGTCCGACACTTGGTTTTGCTTTTTATGCTAGTGAGCTGATTGAATGACTTGCATCTCTACCACTTCTATTGGCTGGTTGTTTTCTGAATTTCTTAAATGTAAAATTTCCAAAAATGCCTGGCGCAATTTTTCCATGCGCCAACAGTAAATAACGGGATTGCACAGGGAACCTAACATTATGAACGTTGCCACCCAACTCGCCATACAGTTTAAAACACGTCCTTCTAGATTAACAGAAAAATACATCATAACAGAAATTATTGTTGGTAGGTATGTTACAATTAGCGTAATAAGGATGATTCCTAGAACTTTGATGGCTTTGTTATTTTTCCTAATTGTTGTAATTTCTTCTACGCTAAAATGTTCAGTCACAGTTCGTTGTTGGCGTCGGGTTTCCGAGAAAATGTACAAATAAATTCCTACGATGGCAATTATGGAAATCGAGGCGAAAGTAGTAACAGTTATGGTTAATATGGTCAAACAAATACTGTAAATGTTTGTGTCACTGTTTACTGCAGCAAGGATGCTTTCTTGAATTGTCACAAATATCGTAAAAGCCCACGCTGAAAACACAGCGACGGTTACTCGCCGTGTTGTGACAATCTCTCGATACCTTAATGGTTTTTTAATGGCAATGTACCTATCAGTAGTTATTAACAAAAGATGAGTTAAGGTCGCCAAGATATGCCATATTAAGGATAACGTGCTCACTCTTTCCAAAGCGCTACAGAATGTTCCCTTTTTCAATATTCGCTGCACTTCTGTCGCTATTCGTATCGGCTGTCCCAGCAGCCCTGTCAAAAGATCCGCCCCGGCCAGGCACGCTAGAAGGATTGTCGATTCATTTCGCAACTGTCCTCTTGTTGCGACAGCAAAGATCACCAGAGCATTCGACAACACAGTTGGTAAAACTGAGATGGAATTGATGCTGATTATAGCAAGCAGATGGTTGTAGATACCTTCTGTCAGCAGGAACTCATCTCGCCAAGCTACATCCTTCAAATAAGGACATTCCGCTGGTTTAAAGAATCCGTTGGACGAAGAAGTATTTGCCATGTTATTTTACGTTAAGGGTGTTATAAAAGTATACAGACTCTTAGAAAAGGCGCGATGCGAAGAAAATCAAACGATTTTTGAATCACAACTAAATTCTTCTTCCTTTCCTTATTTTATTTTTCTTCAACAAAGCTTGAATTTCATTGGTCAGTTTACGTAACAAAATGATTTCCGTTTCCGAAAGAGACACAAAGCTGGTAGTCCATCTGAAGGCTGACTATCATGTTACTCAGTGTATTTCAGTGTTATTAATGACATAATTAGTTAAAACGTTTACTCATAAATCCGGCTTTAAGTAAGGAAGGTCGATTTTCATGCAGTCGTTTTCAGACGCTTCTTCTCCGCGTAGAGTCTGCCTAAATTTGTCGATTAACACTCAATTGTTTCTTGAAAGGCGGCAATTTTCTTTGAACATAAGATTTTCCAAAGAAGATCTGATGCAGATATCTAATCTGAGTTAATTGTTGGAATAACGTTGTAATAGCAAAATAAGAAAAAAAGAGAATTAGACCTGCTAAGTAGGAATAAATTATTGGCACGCTTTCTACATTCAGGTCAGGATCTGATCTGACCAACATCTTTACAGACGTGGCCAATTTACACTGAATTTACCCTCTCTAAACTCAGTTAATGTCAAATTGAAATATTATACCCTGCTGCTGATGAAAGGTGTTTCCAGGATTATCAAAATATCAAATGTAATTTACATGACTACTGGATTAATTCTTATTCGAGTGCGAACTGCGGAAATAAAATTTTTTAAATGAAGATATGATCGTCGAAGTGGTAATTACAATTTAAGCAATTGCAAATAAACCCGAAAGAAAAAAAACTTGGGACTTCAGCGGGATTCGTTTCCATGGCCTCTGCGTTAGCGCTGTAGTGCTCTACACCCTTTGAGCTATGAAGACCCACACATTGGGACCAGGCCAATTCGTTGAGTTCATCATAACCCGTGAAAGGAAAACTTGGTCACGTGGCACAAATTAACTCTCACCGTCTGCCTTGTCTCTCTAATGTGAGTGCCTTGTCACCTGACCTTAAATAAACTAGCTCTTCTTCTGATTGACTCAAGTCCTAAACCTCTCCTAAAACGGCCACCTTTCAACAGCGGCCACTTTCTTCTATCCCCAAGGTGTCCTTTGTGGAGAGGTTTAACTGAGTTTGCATTAGATTCGTCTTTGGAAAGCGTCATTTTCAAAGAGTCGTTTGCACATCAAACAAAATTGCACCTGTTAGAAACAACTGTGTTTTGATTGACAAAATTAGGCAGACTCGACCAGGGAGATGAAAGGAATACAGTATCAGACTTGAGTCTCCGTACTTTTATAAACACCCTCAACGCTTAATAACATGGCGAATAATTCTTCGTCCAACGAATTCTATATAAATCAGAGAAATGTCCTTTTTGGGGGGCAGCGGCTTAGCGAGAAGATCATGAGTTCCTGCTGACAGAAGGTACCTACAACCATCTGGTTGAGCAATCAGCATCAATTCCTTCTCAGTTTTACCAACTGTGCTGTTAAATGTTTTAGTGATCTTTACTGTAGCAACAAGAGAATAGTTGCGAAATAAATCGACAATTCTTTTGGCTTGCCTGGCCGGGGCGAGAGTGCGGATAAAAAAATGAAACGTCCCAATCCAACCGGCTACGTACGATGTTTCTTGTTTTAAACAGACGAGTCGACGTTTACTTAAACTTTCCAAAATAGCGTTTTTAAGTCCCAATGAGTTGACTGTGGTAAAATAAAAGAACGTTATTCATTATTCTACAAAAGTGGGGCAGCTCCCCCTCCACACAAAAGAGTCGAGCCCCCCCCCCCCGCTTTTTTTTGGAGCGATAAACTCAAACATGTTTATGACAGTTCCTGGGCGTGTTGTCAATGAACTGATAGCTACCTGGTGTGCCAGTATTGAAGGGTACGTCTTTATAATAAAATAATACCCTACAATACCCACTTTGATATTAACATATTATGCTTGGAAGTGAAGGTGAACTCAAGCATGTTACTGAAGGCATGACCCAGAGCCTAATTTACATATCCACTGGTTTCGGTTTGCGTGTAGTGGATACCAGCGCAAAAAAGCCACTTAGACATAAAAAATACAGTAATTTTTAGAAATTAGAGGCGGACCAATTTGAGGAGATACAATACGTCCCTTGTCCAAAGAACGGATAATCAAGTAGAATCGGAATTTGGTTAACTGACGTGTGAGCGAAAAGACAGATGGACATTTCTACCATCGCCAAAGTGGAATGAAAATTTCAATGCCTTTTATTATTCAAAGATACTTTGGCATAGATCAGCTTATCATCACTGAGTTTAGTGAAGCTGCCAATGAAGTTCCATAAAACTTCGTTAAGAACACGCGAGTACGAACGAACAGGGTTAAAACGATCCGTTGTGTAATGACGAAGGTTTTAGGCAGTGTTCGTTCCTCCGACTTTCTAGACTGTCTGAGAACGGTAAAAAGAGGCTGCGTGGGAGAGTAGCAGCTGCCAGGCAGTTTGAAAAACTGAAAAAGAGGTTTTTGTCACTATTTCTCTCACAACATAAATGCATGCAATCGACATTTCAAAGTCTCACTCGTAGAAAAAGTAGAACTTTCACTGAAGTTACGTTGTGGTAAACACCAGGAGCCATAATCGGGGTAGGAGACCGTAACTGGATATCTTTTCCAGTAATGGGGTTGGTTCCATCGAAATAGCCAACTGTGCTATTTTTAGCACAGATTGTGCATCTCGTGTGACACGCGCGAGGGCTCCGCGCAAAGGGCGAACAAAAATGGCGTCGGAATTTACCTCCGCAGGAGATGAATAAATTCCATTTCTTTCGTCATTGCCTCCTCTGAATTTAAGGCAAGACCTTGAAGAGAACCTCTTTGACAATAACTCTAAATGTGAGGACTTTGAATACAATTCTTGTCATGTTAAACACCGTAGTGAGAGTGTTTTGACAAATCCAGTGTCCAAGAGTTGTCGGAGATATCGTGCGATGAATTTTCCGTTCGAACGAAACAAACAAACAAAAAAACTTGGCGGGAAAAGGAGGGCGGAAAGATACTACAACAACAACAGCTAATAATTATAACTAATTTTCCTCAAATATATCGTTGAATTCATGATAAACACACTCCACCAGCTTCAAAGAAGGTCTCAACTGAATGCGGTGCTGGCTTTTACGGTTCCGAGGAAAAATTCAAGCTATTTACAGACTGAAGCAACGTCCACTATGGCTCCACGTCTCCATTTTCACCCATTTCAACTAACCATGAACAATTAACAAAATTGCGACGGTCACACGCGCCTGACACAAAAAATCCTCAGATATGCGTGACACCACGACGGCTAAGTGTACGCTTCGATAGCGTCTTGTTGTTTCTGCTGAAGCTCCTTGGTCCTCTGATCAAGCTCCTCCAACAGTTCAACAATTGTAAAGTGCAGTGAGCCTTCAGCTTGAGGTTTCTTCCTTTCACAACGTTTAATCTCTTTTATAAGAGAACTAAATGATGTGAAAGAAAGAAACCTCACGAAACAGCCTCCTCTTGATTTCCAGTCTTGCGATTTCTTTAGCCGCTGTAACTCTTTTCTCAACTTATTTTCTTTTAACTATTTCGATCTTTGGCCAGATCGGTGAGGTTCTTTTGAGATTTTTCCAACTTCTCTCTGGATATGATTATCCTCTTCTAGCCACTGTCGCTCTGATCGCAGGTTATTAAAATAACCTGCGATCAGAGCGACAGTGGCTGGAAGAGGATAAGTGATTAAAATCACTGCAGCTTGTTGAGCTATGGTAGTATATGTTGGTTTACAATTGCTACTAGCTGCTCGTAACTATATATTACATACATCTGTGCCATCCTTAGTCGAAGTAAAATTTCATATTCTTCAAAAGAATTTATGGGGTAAAAATCACTTCACCGTTCTATATAATCTTTCCGTTAAGTTTCAATTTCCTTTATCTTCTTCCTAGTGAGCTTTAAAATAGTGATGTCATAAACAATCCGCGTTGCTGATTTCTTTTGCGCGTGCAAAGGCTATTTATGAGCTGCAATACTAACGGTCAGCACAAGTACCTACGTAGACTACTAGTAGTCCCATTTTCCTCAGGGACAGTAGAGCGAGCGAAACGCGAGCGCGCATGAAATTAATCAACCCACCCGAGAAAGGCGAGACGCGGCTTTCCCTGAGAAAAAAAGGGGGCTACTCGTAGTCTAGAGCATTTGTGGTTTTAGTAAGCTATTGTCTATTGTGATGTGGGGTCGAGTTGTTTGGTCAGTATTGTTCAGCCTCTCTTCAACGTTTTCGTTTTCGCAACAGGACGGAAACGTCAGTTGACGAAGGTGCGCGCAAGTCAAACAACTTCTTGACCAATGGCGGAGCGGTAAATTGGGCAGTTGTGTTTAGTCCTTTCCGCACGCTTTCCCGTCGTTGTTGCTACATCGGCCTATTGTTAATCGCACTAGCCTTTAGCACTGAGCTTTATATAGCGAGCGAGTCCGCCATCCTTGGCTCCTTCCTCTGGCACGTTTTTCTTCTCTCCGCGAGAGACCTCTGCTAGCGGGGAAGCTGATGACAAACAAGAGTAGAAAATTAAAATGGCCACATACTTTCGGAGCTTTCTAAATGGCCTGAAGGGAATGCGGGGAACCACAGTCACATTACAGCTTCGCGAGGTTTTTTGCGATAAACGTATTTCTAGTAATACAAATAATGCTTACGTAACAAAAAAAAAGCACTATATGTGTCAATGTATTTAGCACGAAAGTGCCATTTGGGGACACTATATTTTACGCCTCCTAATGGAGACGGGACCGCCATTTTACGTGGTCATCCGAGCCACGCGAAGGTCCAGCCGCTTTCAGGGCAAAGGGAGTTCCTTCATTTCTCAGTTATTTTAAGACCCTGAGTATTGGTCCGGCCCTGAGAATCGAACCCGCGACCTCCCGCTCTGCAGTCAAGCGCTCTACCGACCGAGCTAATCCTGCCGCGGTTTTTTGTCAACAGTGGCTCATTCTTCCACTGTGCATGCATTGCCTATCGCGATATGAAGAACTTGAATTAGAAAGTTCAGAGAACACTCAAATAAAGTCGCAAAACGATCGCCCATCTCCTGAAATTTCACACGAGAGCCGCGCTAATTTGCCGGTTCCAGCACGAATTTGTGACGTCGAGGGTGGAGCAGTTTGTTACCCGAGCGATATAAATCAACTAATGGAGCAAGCGTCGAAAAAAAACTTGGCTTCTTGTTATTTCTAGTGTGAAATATAGAGAAGAACTGACAGCGAAGAGGGGGTTGGGGGGGGGGGTCCTAAGTATCGCACCGCAAGCAAGGACCGAGTACAATGACGGAGGGGACTAGTACCAAACGTTTTGTCCCATAATCCTTCTAGGTCATATTATTGACCACTCCAGAAAATACCATAACATACCATAATGTTCTTTGTTTGTCACCCAAACATTTTGCATAAGCATTGTCTTCAGTTTCTCTTGGGAGTTAAAATGGCCCCAAGAGAAACTGAAAACAATGCTTATGCAAAATTTTTGGGTGACAAACAAAGAGCATTATGGTATGTTATGGTATTTTCTGGAGTGGTCAATTGAACATGGCGGACACAAATTTGGAAACTCCAAATTAGAAAGAAATGGGTAAATACAGCTCCGATTCTGACGACGATAGACGAAAGAAATACAAGTCTTCTAAGAAGCGTGACAGACGGAGCAGAAGCCGGGAACGACGTAAAAGGTCACGTTCCCGGGAACGGAAACGAAGTCGATCAAGGAGTAGCAGTTATGACGACTACAGAAGGAGCAGGTTTGGAATTCTGGAACCAACACATTTTTCTGTTGCGTTTTTTTGTTTCGCTGGTAAATAAGAGACTAATTTATGATCGTCTGCTTTTCCTTCTTGATCAAAAAAATCAGATCAAGTCGAAAAGGTGAGTAGTTGCCGTATAAACCTTTTTACGTCCGACAACTAATTATGAAGCGCTGATCTGAAATTGTAGAACAGGGTTGTCAAAAAGATTTCAAGTAGCAGGAGAATCAGAGAAAGAAGCTGGCACGCTGACTCGTCTCCAGTTGTCTCTCATTCTTAGTATTTGGCTTGGAAAACTAAGCGCTTCTCTAGTGAATAATAGGCTGATTTAGCAACAAACGGGAACGTCAAATGACGATGGGAAAGCGCGCGGAAAGGACTGAACGGAACTTCCGATACCCAATTTGCAGCTCTGCCATTGGTCAACCCAGTTGTTTGATTTGCCTGTGCCGTCGTCAATTGACGTTCCCATTCTGTTGCTAAATCAGCTTAGTTAATGAGTAGAGACAACTTGGAGAAGACTGGGGACAAGTCAGGCCTGCACGGGAGTTCAGGGTGGAAAAACGTAATGAGCATGCGTGAACTTTTTTGCCCAGATCCCCTGGCCGGGTTTGAAAAAATGGCGGGATTTCAAATATTTTATTGCCTAAAAATAAAATGTTTCCACTCATAACCTGGAAAGAACAGGCAATTTGTCTTCAAAAGTTGCAAGCTGTGGTTATAACCTTGTCGTTACTTAATTTTCTCGAAGAATACCTCATAGTAAAACGGACTTTAACGACATTAATTTCCTTGCGTTGTACTGGAAATGTGCATGTGTGGTCCGATTTTTTTCAAGATGCATTCACGAAATGTGTTCATATAAGGAAGTTCCTGGATATATAAGGTCCGGAGCTCCACTGTATACACAAAAACAACATATCTTTGGACAGTGATTTGCCCAAAAAAATTAACGCTTGCCCACAATGTGTTTGAAGTCACTGAACTTTGTCTCACTTGAGCTGACATTTTAAACCCTCGCTCGATCGGACACTCGTAGTTTCGCAGATCACTAAAATATAAACAAAATCCCCAATGTAGAAGTTATTGCGTTGATATGTGGGCAGAAAAAAGGTCAATCTTTATCCAGTAAAATCCTCCCAAAAATCGGTTTCAAAGCAAATATAGTTTTTTAAACTTGCTCGTTTCGCGCAGATATATAAATTTTGCTTTGTGTTGTCAAGTTGAAAACGCATAACATCTGTCAAAAACCAAAGCGTAAGTAGGATTTCCTTCAAACAAAGTTAAAGTTACATTATTTCAAAAACTTCTTGCTGACAATGAAGAAATGAATTTTCTGTGCGAAAACAACCTACCTAAAGATCTTAAAAGCAAAACATCAGTTGCAACTTGGCAGCCAAGCCATGATTCACCATTTAGCTATTTTCAATAAGGTTAACCGGTCCATGCGAGGGTCTTCGTTTAAGCAAATTAAACTCAGCCGATCATTAGAAAATACAGAAAATTGCACATAAGGGTTTGTTTTGCTCACCCCAGTCAAATCAAGCTGCAGCAATTGTTTACGAGAAAAGAGTCAATTGTTTTGAAGTCACTGCCGGGAGTTATCGTTCTGTACTTCACAGCGAGTGAAAAGGACAATTTGCGTACAGAAAGTTATTCTTCAGAAAGAACAGAAACTTTCACAGTTCACTGGAAAACAAAACTATGTAATGAAAAATGAAAAGACTCTGACTACTATTACTTGAGAAACAGAAAAGTGATCTTGAGTAAGCTTGCTGGCCTTCTATCTCCGAGAAAGTTTAAGCACAAGTTTGTTCACTCTGATGCGTTATAACAGCAATATTGTTCTTTGACTGAAGACAAAGATAAAGCTGGTTCTGCAAAGGTAATAAATCTGCATGATGGGCATGTAAAAAAGTAACCGTAACCACCAACAACAGAATACAAGCGGGTTTTAATTCAACCCCGCGAAATCAACTCATAAATAATAATCGGACGCACAATCAGAAAAATACTCGCCTCTTAAGAAATGTTCAAAAACCTTTTATTCCACCTCAGACTGACGGAATGATCCGTTTTTCCTTTAACATTGGTTGTTCTGAATCCAAAGTAATTTTCAAGCGACGAAAAAAAAGCAAACATGTCAAATAAAAATGCTTTACAGGGAGCAAACGTTCTCACCTCGTGCATTTCACTCAGAACTCCAGCAACAAACAAACACAGTCAACACAGAGAAAAGCCCGCCTTGAGCCTGCGATAAGGGATGCGCAGAAGCTTGCGCAGAACGTTTTTCCGCCCTGAAGCACGGGAGCCGGAGGCCCCCCACCAGGCAAGGGGTCTGGGGACCGCACACCACTTGGGATAATATCCCTAGTGATATGTGTTTCCCTTTTAGGGGAACACATATCACTAAGGATACTTTAAAAAAAAAATGTAAATGGGGGCTGTTCTCAGGTCACACTGGCAGCTGTTATCAGTCTATTTTATGAGTTTACAGTAACCCACCCACTCAGAATGACGTGGGAGCAACTTCAGAATACCCGGCCACAAATTTTCCTATTAAATGTACTGCTACTGCGGTCCACAGCCCACAGTCAGTGGAAAAGAATTTTGTGTGTAAATGTATTGCTACTGTGGTCCATAGTCTTGTAGTCAGAGTCGGTGAATTTGAAAGTGATTGAGTGTGTAAATGTTGTGCTACCACAGTCCATAGTCCTGTAGTTGGTGAATTTGAAATTAACTAAGTGTGTAAATGTACTGCTACCGTGGTCTGTAGTCCTGTAGTCAGTGGATTTGAAATTAACTAAGACTGTAAAATAATGTTCCGCTACCTCGGTCTGTAGTCCTAAAGTCGCTGAATATTCAGTTTAGTAGAGTGGCTACTATATTTTAAAACTGGCTTAGTTGGGATTTGTGGATTAAATAATGAGGTATATTACATGTATAGTGTGCTTGTTACTGTTCATGTGGATTACAGAACCAAGTTTGTTACATGTATAGCACTGCAGACCACAGTGGCAGGAGCTGTTGAGGAATATTTTAGTAGCCGGGTATTCTTAGTTTAGCCATGACTTTGTGCAATAAGGTAGACCATACCATGGGTAAAACTAAATCCCTACTATTTTTGAACAGTAATGTGGGTTCTTTACATCCCCTTCGATTTCACTAATGAAAGAAAGATGAAGAAGGCAAGGCTTTTAAACCTTCAACCTAGTGATCCGATTATCTTAATTGAGATGAGGTCCTAACTTACAGCCAGTGTGATCTTACCAAGACCCTGCAGGTTGGTGGTTTGGCCGGGGTTTGCACCTGTGTCCTCCTGCGCTGCAAACCAGAACGTTTCGCTACTGAGCTAACCGAGCAGCAGTTATTGCAGATTAGTAATCAAGTTTTGTCAACTGCTCTCAGTCAACCACAAAATTTTTGTATTCTTTTCAGATCGCAGGTACAGCCGATCAAGCAGTAGCAGAAGCAGTAGTTATTCAAGTGATGAAGAAAGACGAAGAAGTAGAAAAGATAAAAAGTGAGGGGTGCCCCATGCTATTCTGTTGCAGTTCAATTTCATTTTTGGATCTAGTGTTCTTTTTGTTTGTTTTTATGTTTGGTGATTGATGATATCAAAGAAAACGAGGAAACCAATTTATTCAGCCAAGAGGGATAAAATTTAACCAACACATTTACGTTATTTCAATGATTAAATTGGATGGTTTAGCATGTAGTATCAAGGGACATTTTAACAAGTCACTGTGTACTTTGGTGAGCTGACAGGGCAAGTCAAATGATGCAGAATACTACACACCAAGTAGAGATGTTTCATCAAACCAGGTTTTAAAAAACAAAAAACAGACATGGAAAACTGGAACACAGGTTTTCACACAGGATTCAAATGAAATTCAACATGTTTTGCAATTTGCAAAGCCTTATGTCTATGTGATCAGCATGTGCACGGTGGCTGAATATAAAAAATACGCAAGCTGAATGAGCAAAGCAGTGTAGTGATTAGTCATGCACATGAAACCAGGTCAGCCTTTTAACTCCCAGAAGTGACCAAAGTCAAAGGTATTTAACAAAAGTTCAAAATTTCATTTTGGTGAAATGAAATTTTACCAAAGGAATGGTAACACCACATGATTTCATCAACACACAAAAATTAGAAGCACCTTGTACAACACTCCATATCATTCACTCTGAGTATAAAAGAATTCAAAGACAATGACAGGAAATTGTTTCCATGTAAATTCTGCACCTATTTCTTCATTGACCGTAACAATTCCAGCTATCACATAGGCACGTGGCTAAACTTGAGAAATTTCTGTATAAGAGAGATGTCCATCTTATAGAGAGTCAACTAAAAGGAGTAAAGAATGGCAGGGAGCAACTCTAGGTGAACTTCTTATAGACTGAGATGTCTGTCTTGTAGTCAGAGTCAACTATAAAGAGTAAAGAAAGGCAGAGACCAACCCTTGGTGTCCATCTAAAAGAGATATGCCAATCTTATAGAGTGTCAACGAAAAGGAGTAAATAAAGACAGTGACCAACTCCAGGTGTCCATTTAAGAGAGATGTCCATCTTATAGAAAGTCTGCTAAAGGGAGTAAAGAAAGGCAGATAGATGTCTGACTTATAGTCAGCATCAACTAAATGAGTAAAGAAAGCCAGGGACCATCTCTAGGAGTCCATCTTATAGAAGTGTCTGTGAAAAGAGAGTTGAATGTTTTTCCCTGGTTGCATGATATCAGAAGTATGTCTTACTCTCATTCATTTTAGCAGCATTCTTTGTTGGAAAAAGTAAAGGGCATATGATAAAATGCTATTACAATGACAAAATAATGATGATAATCCAAGTGCTGGAAAGTGCTAATAACATGATATTCAGTTCAACATTATCATCATTATTTTTACAGGAGTTCAACCTCAAGTTCCCAGGTAAGCTTTAAAGGAGCCAGTCCAGCATTAATTGTCTAACATTTGAGAATCATATACAGCATGACATATTATTAAAAGGCAAATGCGAGATTCATATTGGCAATAATTACTATCATGAATAAAACTTTTGAACAAGTGAGTAATGCAAAGCATCATTTTTTTATTGATGAAATACTATTTGGCCGGCTTGATCAACTGGATTGAATCAAACTCTGTTACCCTATCCCAAGCCCTTTGCCATTTTGTAAGTTTCAGGAGTTGATCAGATCCCGCCTGATCCAGGTTTTGTTTACGCCTTCTGCATTTCTTTACTTCTTCTCCTTTATCCTAGTAGTACTTTTAGTGAATTTTTTTATCATTACATTAATTTTGTAAATTTGCTTCAATTTTTGTGTTTGGAATTTAGGCTTCAAGAGAACAAACCAAAAAGAAAATGAAGAAAGCTCTTGCCAAAGCAGGTATTCCTCAGTTTTCTTGCATTGTTTGATCTTTCTTTGAGATACAGTTAATATTGAAATATCTGTCACAGAAATTGCACTAAGAACTTGTTCACTGAAACACAATAATATTTTTTTCTTTTTTTTTTCAGAATCTAAAGATGAAGTCTTGAAAAGAGATAAAGCGACCAAAGAATTGAGTATGTTTCCTTTCTTACCATGTTTTTTTCCTTAGAGTGTTTTGATCAATTGTTTCACCCCCAGAAATGCCAAAGTCAAAATATTTTAAAGTCTGGAAAAATAAGTACTGTAAACTGCTGCTTATAAGCCTTGGGCTTATACATCTTTGTAAGGGGTTTTAAGAGGGCTTATAAATAGAGAGGCTTATTTCCGAGGGACTCATAACCTGAGTAGAAAAAGCACTTTGAAACAAGCTACAGCTTTGCTGATAAAAATACATTGTACATTTACTGGTCTTTAATTAAGCTTAGAAATGTCATGATATATCAAATTCATTTCAATCTAAGCAAGATACGGGCTTGCATCCAGGTTGGGTGGGGAGAGATTTCATTTGAATGGTCACACCTCAGGAATTGATTCATAGACTCAAACGTTATAACTACATACTAAATATCATGGTAATGTGGGGAAGCTTTCCTCAAGACTTTTAGTGTTTTCATTTCAATGGTCATACCACACTAATTGATCCACAGACTTAAAAGTTAGAATTACCTAATAAAGAACTGAAATAAAGCCAATGTTGGGCTTCACATTTTATAAATTGACCAAAAAAAATATTTAAGAATTATTTCAAGACTTTTTTTGAAAATTAGTTAACAACATTGAAAGGAAGGAAGGGAGGTACCAGGGTTATGCAACCCACATTAGGTGCCCTGGATTATGGTTTCAAAATTTTATTTTAAGAAAAAATATATATCAGACCAAGCATATTAATAGCCCCTATGCATGATTACGTCAGACGAGTAAATTTCACCAACAAGCCTCGTTTGTGAACAAAATTTTTTGCATTTGCACTTTTTGTGCGTGGGTATTCTTTTCAACTCTACTGCCTTGGGAATTCATTTCTGTGAAACTTCGCTTATTTTTAATTTCAAAACGAGGCTTGGTGGTGAAATTTGCTTGTGTGACGTAAACATGCATAAGGGCTATTGAAATTTCCTTTGTAAGACACTTATTCTAATTATTAAAAAATAAGGTAATGTTCTTTGAGTAGTAATGAGCTTAATAATCTTGACTGATTTATTCAACAGGAAAACTAGCGCCTGACAAAGAGGCCATATTACGCATAGAAAGCAACGAGTTTGTTCCTCAGTCATTCAGTTCGTCTTCTACCTCTAGGGGACAGCAGGTGATGATATCAAAATTGTGCTTCTAAAATATTGAAATGTGGCCTCTGTGACGATCGGGGATGGTGGTGGTGGTGGGGTGCGGGACAGGGGGGTGGGGGTGCTTCTCTATTGTACTTATATCTGCAAATACAGTGGATCCCCATCAATATAGTCACCTATGGGCCAAAAAAACTTGGCCATATTAACAGGGTGGCCATGTTAAAGGGTTTTTTACATGAAAATGCATGGCGGTTTTTGTGAGGCGCCCAAAAAAAGTGGCCGTAATAACGAGGTGGCCGTATTACCAAGGTGGTGGAAAGGTGGGGTTTCACTGTAGGTATTCATGATCCCAAAAGGTGTGGTCTTTACCCCCTTTAGTCTAAAATTGGGTTCAGATTTTAGACCTTTGAATATGAATTAGTATGGATTATTAGTGTAAGGTTTTGTGTTCTCTGAAACCAGGGTGTAGAATTAGGTTTATTTTACAGGTCTGAAATAACTAAGGGTCAGCTGAAGGGTTTCAGAAAGAATTTTCTGCTATCAATATCAATACATCATCAGCATATATTGTTAACTTGGTTCATTCATTGTCTTCCCAACCAGTCCTGTAAGACATGTTATCATACTCCTTATCTGTCTATTCATTGGCCAAGAGCCTACAGTTAACTTTGAAAATCAGTGCAACCTACAGATTAGTTAGTTATCTGCTAGCAGACTAGTGACTAATCTGTAGGTTGTGCACTCAATTCGGGATTTCCAAAAAATGTCAAACTGTGTTCCATGTGATGCTGTGTTTGTCCTTATTTTCTTTAAAATAATGTATAATCATACAATTTAGTATAAAATTCGGTTTTTGTGATATCCGCAATGGTCAAGGTCTCGGTAAGTGTTATCAGCCTTGGCCTTTGGCTTGGCTGATAATTCTCTCCTCAACCTTGATTATTCGGGATATCACAAAAACCTCATCCAATAATAATTAATGTTTATGACATCTGCGAGGCATCTCAAACTTCTCAAAGTAAAAAATCGTGTTTTTGAAAATTTGTGTGTGGTAGAGTGGTGCTATTAACATAGATGGAAGTCATGAAGAGGCCATGTTTGGAGTTGGTGGATCAATACCTGACACTGCTGGTCAAACTACAGCGCCTGAAGTGAAGATAACATCACAGCCAGTTATATCACAGTCAGTAGACAAGGAGGGACTGTTTGCCTCATGGGTAAGTCTAGTGTATATACTGTAAAATGCTTGCCATAGTGTAGCTGGCGGTCTTGTCAGGAAGGGGAGATGGTGAGAAACCATTTATTTGCACCCTTACCTGACAAGACCACCAGCTACGAAGGCTACTCAAAATAGCAACTGGTGGCTTGGTTTATTTTTTAACTGAGAAGGGGTCGCTGATTCAAAGAGGGTCACTTACTCGTTCCTCCGAACTTCATCCTCAAGATGACATTGTATTTGTTTCAAATGATCGGAACCTAAAACATTAAAACTAGAAAACTTGAAGGTTTTCTTTACCATTTATGTATATGAGAGTACAGTCAAACTCCTAAGTGTGACCATTTAAATGAAAGCTGCTGAGCAGTATTTTCCTGTGGTACTGTTTATTAAGCTGCATAAGGGTGTTGTAATTTAATCTGACATGTGTTTGAAATCTTTATTTGTGACCATTCAAATGAAAGCTACTGAGCAGTTTTACCATGTGCGTTTAATTTTGTTTATCACGAGAAGATGTTGAAAAAGTTTTCAATTATTCTCTTTGTTTATATCATTTCAGCTTCATGAAGATGAAGAAACTAAGACAGCTCGCTGGATAACCAAGTTAAAAAAGATGCGACAGGAACTCTTGGCAGCCTCATGACTGATATTGTGTATACTGTAAACAGTTCACTTATTTATATTATACCTAAAAAGTAACACTATTTTCTACATGTTTTTGTGTTCTCTGATGTTGGGTTATGCAGCTGGTTTGTTTGGGGATTTATAACAACCCAAACAATTTTTACAGGTCCCAGATCTCGTAATTCCCGCAGGCCTTGTAGTAATCCGAGTAATCCAAGATTTCGACAGGCCCTTGTGGGTGAAATGAATAAAATTCCGAAACCCTTTATTGTAGTTATTGAAGGGACTGTGGAACAGACCCATAGACCGCAAAAAAAAAAGAACAAGGCTATTATCCAACCATCGTGACCGAATAAGTTTGTTCAATTAAGGATCGAGATATTTTTCTCTTTATGAAGCCACGCGGGAAATCCCGAGCAGTAAAGAGGACCGTACGCCCGCTCGGTGGGTAGCCAATCAGAACACAGGATTCGCTTCATCTTTCCCACTCGAGCAAGTAGCCATATATATTAAAAGATCTTCTTCCTGTTCTGTGTTGATCAATCTTTGTAAAGTCTTGAAAAGCTCTTGAACTTCTGCCACCGTCTTAAAAAGAACTTGAATGTCACTTGAGTACTTTTAAATTTTAGGTAACAGTAAATTTCCTTTTAGTTATTAATGGAGAGCGGTAGTAAACATACGTTGATGCCTTATCACAATTCATACATTTTGTTCACTTAGGGACTTGTCAGAAATTAGCAGGGGGGAGGCAGGGTGGAAACAGAGGGAGGGTCACAACTTTTTGAAACTGCAGAAAAGGGAGGGGTCATGAAAAATGGGCCGTTAAAAGGGGGAGGGTCATGCAAATATGAGTCCGTGATGATGTACAGGTTCACCCACAGAAGAAAAAAGAATTTCTTTATTTTGTAAAAAAAACTTGGGAGAAATAGGAGAGTCGAGTGATCAGCTGTCAGAGTCAGAGTCGGACTCTTAATGCTATCATCTAAAATGTATATATATGGCATTACAAAGAACAGATTAGAAATATATTTTGAACTTTCATAATACTGACTCACCCTAGTGTATTGCAAGAACTAGATTTTATCATTTATACAAGAGGGGGAGGGTCATGATATTTTAGGCCAAGGTCAAGGGGAGGGTTAGCAAATTTCACTCCCATTGCAGGGATGGGTCATCTCATTTCCGAACCCAAATATAAAATTACCACCCCCCCCCCCTGCTAATTTCTGACAAGCCCCTAAAGTCAATTTTGGCTTTGTTTCTACGTTTGTAGAAGGTATGGGGTGCCCCACTATGTGCCTTGCTGTGAAAGAGGAGTTAGGTTTGAAACATTTACGCCAAACTCTTAACTTCACCTTCCTTTGCCCTGTCACGTTTGTCGCACACAATCATTTTGCCGTGCTCTTCTTAAGAGGAGCAAGGGTTGCGCAGTGGTGAGAACACTCGCCTATCACCAATGTGGTCAGGTTTCAAATCCCGGCGTCGAGCTCATATGATGGTTGAGTTCAAGTTGTTGTTGGTTCTCTCCTTAGCTCCAAGAGGTTTTTCTCCGGTTTTCTGGTTTTCCCCTCTCCTCAAAATCCAACACTACCCAATTCCAGCTCGGACACGTTTAAACGAGTTAAGTGCTAAGTGGGTGAACAAATATGCAATTTACACAATTACAATATCGTCATCGTGTTGCGGAAGCTCGCTATTGTTAGCATGGGTAAATGCGTATCTCTAATAGGTAAAGCCATGCGATAAAGGTCTTGAAAATTACTTCAGAGGCCCTGAAACGTTCCGGAATTTTGATCGGCATTTTCTGTGCAAACCATGATTGTCCTTGCGTTTTTAGCACTACTCTTCAAGCAAACTCTCGAATTGGGGGCGGGGATGGGAAAGGAAAACCCCCTTCGCTCCCCCCACCCCCCCCAACCTTGCTCGCACTGGCGCTCTCTCTCCATCCTCTTTTATGAAAATACTTGTCCTGTTTTGTTGTTGGAGCCGGCGAGATGTTCGAAAACTGCTGACACCTCAGACTTGTAATAACTGCTAAAATAATTGGTAATTTAGATTCTCTGAAGTGTAGCTTTGCAGCCTCATCTAATCCCTTGCATACATGCCACAACACTTGTTCGTCTCCCGCCTGAGTCACGTAATGCTCCCCGCCCCAACGCTGCTACTCTAATGCGTGACTCCGGCCTGAGCGGCTCCGAAGGAGACTAGAAATACTAGAAAGGGTGCTAGACTTACTGACAATGCTTGATCATATAAATGACGATTCATTTAAGAACTAGTCTACTTCGCAGCCTTTTTTGTCGCGAGGTAGAATAACATGCATAAAAAGCGTGACATAACCAGAAGTGACGTATGCGATCGATACTTGCGAAATTAGTTCCTGTTCCACAGTTGTGAAAGCACGTTTCACTGAGAGGAGGCCTGTCATTTTTATTCTCTCTGAAGTTGGATTTGCAAGCAAAAAAGAAGCAGAATGTTCGCAATTTATTGGCTCGCGGTGAGTTTGTTAACAATCGGATCAAGTTTAGCCCAGAAGAAGATGTGCTCCAAAATATTCTTTCAGAATGTTAATGAAGAGTTAATGCCGTGGATACAGGTCGAGGGAGTCTACGATCTCTTCTCAGAGAACAACAACTTTCCTGTCTATCTGAACAAACCGTCTGGTCTTTTCTTCTACTATGCTGATGGAAAAGAATACAATGTAAAGGTTTTGTTGTTTGGTCATAAAATCGGTGAAATTTATGGCTTAGCTGCGCAACTGGCTCCAGACTTCGATCCGACGACTTGGCTCTCTTCTGGAACGCTAAACAAGAATGATTTGTTCGGTGATATCGTGAAGGTATGGATGTACTACTCCCCACTTGATAAATCTTACAAAAAGATAGAACGAGGACCTTACATTAAAGCTATTTGCGTAGATGATGATTATTTTCAATGCGATTCGCGGAAACTTTACTTCAATGACACTATAACCGGAAGTGGAGGTGAAGTTCTGAATGATCCTCGAACCGACTATTTCGCAAACGTACCTGGAGTATACAGGTCCGTGAGACCTGTTCTCCGGCATAGCCGTCAAAATTGGTATTTATATTACCGCAATGGCTATTGGATGGTTGGAAGCAGTTATTCAAGTCTAAACGGCGATTATTTTCGCGTTCGAGACTTGGCACTGAGACCGGAATACATCACACATGACTGGGAATATTTGAGTGGATCGGAATGGACTACGGTTAGTGGACTAAGGATCAAATGTCGTGGAATCGCCAATGGTGCAAACACGTGCCATGGAGCCTCAACCTGTACGAACAGGGGTACTTGTGTTTACACTACAGGCAACGAGACTGTTTGTCTTTGTGAGGATAGCGCCTACGGGGCAGCCTGTGAAAGCCGAGAACTGTGCTCCGATCCTGGGGTTCCAGATTCGTCGGTCTCCGTCACATATACAGGAAAGCGTCCTGGAGATATCGCGACTTCGTTTTGCGTGACAGGGTACATATCCTCACCTACGGAGTTTTACATCTGCGAACAAGATAATGGACGCAAGAGTTGGATGCTAGAATCTCAGCAAACGTGCCGCGCGCCAAGCCCAGTGACTGTTAATCCGGAAACCAATGCGCCGAAAACAGTACCCCCGAGACCGTATTCCACGGAAATGACTATCTCTCCCGATGGTGAAGACACACCGGAGCGTTCGGAGGGGTTTATGATATTTGTCATTGCTTTCTTTGCTTGTCACGTTCTTTGTCCCGTTTTTATATGGTTGGCTATGATTTTGACTACGTTTGCGCGCTGTAGTTCACGTACCCAAGTAGGAACCCCTGAACGCTCGAAAGCTGTAGGAAAGATCATGGACACTCGTTATATGTTAATGGTGCGCACTTTTTCCGCCTTTTTCAACTTCGCTTTCTGGGTGTGGTTTTGTTCTGTCTGTGTTTGCCTGTCTACACATGAAAAAGGTAGTGCCCATTCGCCACTTTTCTACTGGGCAGCGGCAATGTGTGGTTTTTGTGCACTTTTTGTGGCAATTGAAGCGTTCTTTTCCGTAGAGAGAAAGGGCCTGAGTCGCATTATCACGTGGGAATATATTCAGTCCCTTCACAGAACACCTCCTGTAGTCGACATGCAGATTGAGTGGTACAATTGGCAGACTTATCGTTACGCTGAGTACGGTACTAACCCCGTGACGGGCCGCAGAGAATATCAAGGAACAAGGGAGGCGACGGTGAAAGTAGGAAGAAAGCTCCACAGTGAACCTTTTTCGTACACATCCTGGACAGATCAATCTCAGCAAGAAATTCCGTGTGGTGGACAAATTCTCAGAGTTAAGATTTCCCTAGATGTCTCAATGGACGCTGTAACCTCCCGTTTTTTCGAAGCACAGAAGTTTGCCCTTGTGGAAAAAACACAACATTTGAATAAATTTTACGACTTTTCACGAAAAGATAGTTTGCCCGACCTTCATACAGATGTCGTTTTATGCCCTAATAAGGATTCTGTGCCTCCCTGGATGAACGAGATATTCTTCTGGGGTGCTACACTGCTACAGTTATCTTGGGTTTACAGATGGTTGTTCATCTCGCGGACGCGTTCCGTGGAATATACCCTCAAGAAGAAGGTCTTCTGCGCTGATTCTCCGAGCTCCACCAGGCTGGCGAGTTCCCAGCAGGCTAATCCGGGAAATTTTCCTGTCAAAACCGGTTTTATATCCTCAGAGCAAGAGTCTGCTGCTGTAAACCAACCCTTAATCAAATGTGACCACAACAGCTCGCAAAATTACATGTCAGTGTAAGTCCACTACATTTTAAAGTACGACTCACTGTTTGTCCCTTGTGACCAAGGGTCTGTGATCATTGGTGATCTAGACTTGCTGGCCACAGGATAACCACCCTTTGTTGAACCAATTAACTGTTCTTCTCTTGATTAAGGATTTAAAGGCTCGCAGGCTACCCAACAACAGATTAGCAAAGCCGCATGCAGGCAAAGAAAGATCGAAAAAAAAAAATTTAAAAAAACTTATTCGTGCCTCGATCCTTTATCTCTCAAACAAGACAACATCATGGGATATTCAGAGGTAGAGCGATTTTCA